CTCCCTGGGCTGTGGGGAGAGGCTCCTTCCGTGGGCAGCCTGGGCAGGTGGCCCTGTGCCTTAGGCCTGCCTTGAACCCCGGGCCACGAGGCCACCCACAGGGAAAGCCAGAGGGGCCGGCTGGTGCCGAGTTCGCCAACCTCCGAGTGCCCGCCGGCCCTGCACCCCACTCCTGACCCCCTACTTGAGCAGACTCGTCAGCTCAGTGTTGGATTTCTTTTATTAAGAGAAAAATCACCACTCAAGAAAGGAAAGACAGCCAAGTGAAACCCAGCTCACGCAGGCAGGGCAGCACTTCCAGTGCAAAGGCCCGCTGCCACTGGAGGGCCTGGAGGGGCCCGCTGGGCAGGGCGGGGAGGGCACTAGCCTGGCAGAGGAAGTTCTGGGCATGGATAAAACCTCACAGCTGGGCAAGGGGGGGTGGTAAACGGCTGCCCCGGCAGGAGGAGGAGCCACCCCCAGGGTTAGTCAGAAGGTCTGCCCACTCTCGGAAGGTCTGCCCACTCGTGTAGGATAAAGACTGGTGGTGCCACTGCCCTCACAGGCTATGTCAGAGGGGAGCGGAGGGTGATGCTTTTTGCTCATATTTTTAGAACGCCCTGGGCCCTGGCCCATGCATGATTCTCAGATAATTTCATTAAAGCTTTAGTCCTTGACTGGAAGGCCTGGGGGAGGGTTTGGGGTGGCTTCCTCTGGAGCCGGGGCCTGAAGAAGGGGGGTGCCTCAGCCAGGTGGGGCAGACCCCCCACCCACAGGCAGGACCAGAGGGGCAGGGCCCCGGGAGCAGCTGGCTTGAGGAGGAGAGGATGTGCAGGGGGGCTCCTTGGACCCGAGGCCTGGAGGGTGGACAGGGGCTCCTGAGGCTCCCCAGGGAGTCTGGAAAGCCCACGCCAGGGGAGGGGAAAACGCACAGGCCCAGGAGGGGTGCCCCGGGGAGGATGCAGGGACCTCACGCCCCCAGGAGCTTCTTGACCATGTAGCCGGGGAGGCTGTAGAGGAAGAGGCCCAGCATGAGCAGCGCCAGCAGCGCCAGCACGATCTTGATGATGAGCCACTTGTACCGCGTGCAGATGAGGTACTTGATGGACTTGAGGGGGTTGAGGAACCAGACGAAGGCGGTGTCGGGCCGGCTGGGGGAGGGGAGCTGCAGTCAGGCGGGGCATCTCCCGGGGTACCCATCCCTCAGCCCCTCTAGACCCCAAGAGACCCTGCCACAGCCCCAAGAGGCGTGAGTGCTGGAGACAGGGTCGGAGCCATTGCTAAGCACAGGGTTCGCTGCTTACATTCCCGTTGGCAGGACCCTTGGCATGCCCCCTCCTCCCAAGGCCTAGCTGGCACTTCTGGAGCTTTGGGCAACCCCGAGCCTCCACCTGGACACCAGCAGCCATGGCAGCTCGCTACCCAAAGGGGCAGCCGCAGCCCCACGGGCAGTCCTGGGTTTAGGGAGCGCCTCTACTCGGCAGGTCACTGGACAGGGTCCCCTGTCCTCTCTCCGTGAGACCAGTGTTTCTCAACCTCTCCCCTCCTGAGGATCAAGCTTCTGTCCAGGGTCCGAGTGGCTCGGGGGGGGGGAGGGGGCGCCTGCCACCCTCACCGACCTGCGCACGTCAGGGGTGGTTGCTGCTCTACCTCCCAAGTGGCCTCCGAGCCAAGAAGTGCTCACTAAGCTTTACATTCTGCTGTTTGTGTTCCAGAGCAAGAGGCTTTACGGAATGTCATGATATAAAGTTAAAGTGTGAATGTGCTTTTTAAACTCCTGCCTGCCGGTGCCTGGAGGACGCAGATGGCACTCCTAGTGAGGTGCTCAGCACGAGGGGGTGGGGGTGGGGAAAGCTTGCAGAGCGGGCACGGGCGCAGGGCACCTGGTTTCCAGTCCCAGCTGGGACAGGCACGTTAGCGCCTCTTTGAGCCTCAGCTCCTCACTTGCACAATGTGTTAGCAGTGGACCCCGCTCCAGGGTTGGTGGAAGGGGAAGTGAGTCAGTGACGGTGCCTGGCGCCGAGCTGTGCTCAGCAGATGTTGGCTACTAAGATGTTGGCCTTGGATGGAACTGCTTATCGTCCCGCAGGGCGGAACACGACTGGGGGTTGGCAGCTGGGTGATGCAGGAACTATCCAGGACTCGCTGGCCAGGGTTAGCCCAAACCTTCCCCTCTCCCTGCCACATCTCAGCCTCTCCCTGCCAATGCAATAGGGTTAGTCTGTCAGGAACGTCACTGGGAGAGGAGGTGGCCAAGTTTGAGGAATGCTGGGTTGGCAACTTGGAAACCTGGGCTGAGTCCTAGCTCTACCCCAGTTTGCTAGGGAACGCTGGGCAAGTTATCTCACCTCTGAGGCCCAATATGTAATCATGTACAATACTCATTTCCAGTTCTGAGAGCCCATGAAAGCGTTTGAAAGTTCCTGTGTGTGTTCACATGTGTGTGCACAATTGTGTGTGTGCTCTGTGTGTGTGTGCTGTGTGTGCTGTGTGTATGCTGGGTGCTGTTTGTGCTGTGTGTGCCATGTGTGCCATGTGTACTGTGTATGCTTTGTATGATTGTGTGTGTGCTCTGTGTGTGTGTTGTGTGTGTGTGCTGTGTGTGTGTGTGTGTGCTGTGTGTGAGCTGTGTGAGTTCCACATGCTGTCAAGCTCCGGAGCCCCAGGTCCAGAGGAAGGGGGAGGAGTACCAGCCCTAGAGGATGCCGGGCTCAGGCCCCCAGGATCTTCTTGACCAGGTAGCCAGGCACAGAGTAGAGGAAAAGGGCGAGGAGGAGGAGCAGCAGCGTGAGCAGCAGCAGCTTGAGCAGCAGCCAGCGGTACGTGTGCCACAAGAAGTAGCGGGCAGACTTGAGAGGGTTCAAGAACCAGATGAAGCTCGTGTCGGGCCGGCTGGAGCGGAGGAGGAGCAGAGGGAGCACCGAGAAAGGACACACAGGGTGAAGGCTCAGAATGGCGGGGGCCCGGCCAAGAGGGGGCCCGGCTAAGAGGGGGCCACCCTGGGCTGAGGAGTTCCCAGGAAGAGAGAAAAGGGTAGAGGTGCCTGCAGAGTGGGGGCAAGAAGACCCAAAGGTTCTGGCCCTTCGTTCCTGGTGCAGCGCCCCCAGGGACCAGCGTGGCCGGGCCTCCGGGCGGGCAGGGCACTCACTTGGGTTTCTCTAGGGGGTCAGGTTCGTTGCGGGCAATGCCCACTGGATTCTTTTCCGCCTCCTCCGCTGTCAGGAGATGCAACTCTGCCTCCACCTTGCCCTGCAGACAGAAGAGAGCTGTCCTGGTGCCTGGGCCAGGCCCGGCCCTCAGCACCGGCTCAGCCCTGCCCACCGCCCGAGCAGGGGGCGGTGCCCACCGTGAGCTCGAACTCGTCATTCTCATCGCGGGCCAGGAGGGGCCACCAGCCTTTGACACGCTTCTGCTTGAAGATGGAGACCAGGGGCACGTCCACCTCCCCCGTGGCCATCTCCATGGTGCACTGCTTGGCCGTCTTCGCGCCCCGGGGGAACCGGTTCAGGTCCAGCTCGATGGCCCCTGTGGTGATCTCAACGTCAGCACGGACGGACGGACGGACGGATGGACGGACTGTGGGAAGGACCCCCCAGGGTGGGTGGGCTCACCCTGCCCCTTCCTCCCCCTCCCCCGCCCTCTCTGTCCCCGTCCCAGTCCCTAAGCCCCGCCCGGCCCTGCACCCAGGAAGTCGTCGGCGGAGAAGTGGTCGGCGTCCCCCCCACCCCATGCCCCCCCCCTGCCCATGCTGCCCCACAAACCTGGGGATCCAGCATCTCTCCTTCCCCTCCACTCTCTCAGCCCCTCCCATCCCACAGCTCCCTCTGTCCTGGCCCCCCTCCCCCCGGAAGGGGCTCACTCTGTCCAGCCCCCCAGCCGGGGCCTTCACCCACCCCCGCACAAAAATGTCGCTGGACTTCTCCCCAGTGAAGAAGTCATCGTCCTCCAGGACCACCTCATCCGTGTTCCACACGATGACCCGCAGCTCGTACCTGGTGGGGAGAGGGGATTAGCAGTTGGTGGGGGGGCGGCGGGGGAAGTTACCCCAGGATCTCAGGGCTGGGATGGGATGGGCAGGGGGCTGGAGCTGAGCTGACAGAAGTCCCGGGGACTTGGGCTGAGCACAGGGCCTGGACAGTTGGAGCTGAGAGAGTAGAGGAAAAGGAGAGATGTGGGTCCCCAGGTGTGAGAGGGCCAGCCAGTCAGTACAGCTGCTGTGAGCAGAGCCCCAGGGGAAGCCAGTCAGGCTGGACCACCGGGACCCAGCACCCTCCTGGGCAGGGAGGTGGCTCTGGGCAGGGAGGGGCAGGGCCGGCTGCTGGGGGCGGCTGAAGAGAGGCCCAGAGAGTCAGGAGCAAGGTGCTTGTCTCAGGGGCCGGAAGCTCATTCCAGTTCTCATAGAAACTCAAGTCCAGCGGCCGGCAGTGGACGCCCTGGAACCCAGTCTCCTTTATGTCCTTGTGCCCAGAGAGAATTTTCCCTTTGAAGTGTAATTGTCATTACGAATGAGGAAGTTACATTTCAACGTCCAAGAGTGAGGTTGAGTCACCCACTAACAATTGATTGGAAGGTGGTTCCTGGAGTTCTGCCCTGGACTGCAAGTCCCGGTGACACCATAGGTTGGGGTGGCCCCTAGTGGTAGGTCCTGGAACAGCATGCTGTGGCCCCCGAGCGGGAGGCTATTTCCAGCAGAATTGTCTGCATAATTTGACTGCCCAGAGCAAAATGGAAATACAAGGCTCCTTGTTCAAAAATCATCAAGAATCTCAAGATGATCGGGTTGGAGCAAGGGTGGGGTCCCTGAGCATGAGCCCCTGTGCGAATCCTCAAAGCTGGCCCTGGTGCCAGGCCTGAGGGCATCCCAGCTGCCAGGGACTAGATCCTGCCATTGTACAGATGGGAAAACTGAGGACCAGGGAGGCAAAGGGACTTGGCCAGGGTCAGCCAGGAGAGGCAGCGGGCTTGGCTCCCGGCCCAGTGCTCCTTCCACGCGACCCTCCCCCTGCTGCTTCCGGGCACTCGCTCCTGCTCATCTTGGCAGGGGCTTCAGCTAACCCGGGCGGAGCTTACTGACAGCCTGGTGTGGGCTGTGCCCGCCAGAGCAGGCTCTCGGGGTCCGTGGCTTGTGTGCCACTGTGTATCCTGTGTGGGAGCCCGCATTCTGGTGCGAGTCCACGAGAGGGTGCCAACGTGTGCTCATGGCCAAGGGCAGGCCTCACCACTCTCCGGATGGGTGGGTGTGTTCCCACCACAAGGCCACACAGGGAATGCCAACCGGCCCAGGTGATCTGGGCTGTGGAAGGAGTGGCGAGGGCTGGAGACGGGAAGACTGGCGCTGGGCCCCAGCAGCTCACTTCTTGGGCTTCCGGGGGGAGATGTCCAGAGGCGTCCCAGGGGCCGGCATGTCCATGGGGAACATGTCCACCCACAGCTCCAGGCGGCCCTGAGGAAGAGGGGCGTGCCAGGTCTTCCTGAGACTCCGCCTCTGCTCTCCTCCCCCTCCCGACCTTTGTCCTGTCAGGACCCATTTCATCAATTTCCATCCTTGGATGCCAGGAATTCCTATGACGTCATCAATAGCCAATCACAGCTTCTGAGGGAGACCCCCAGGTATCCACCAGAGCTGATGTGGGCTGACTCAAGGCAAAGATGTGCCTCTGGAGTGACCGTGAAGGGCCTGGTGGGGAGCTGCCGCCAGGCTTTGGGAATGCAGCCAACGGCATGAGCATCCGTTTTACGGACCCAGGTTGGGATTCCCCGATCCCAACACCAGAGAACCTCAGGGGCGTCACCTGCTCGATTCCCGGCTTGTCAGGGTTGAGCAGCGGCCGTGTCTCCACGTGCTCCGGCACCAGACGGCAGCCCACTCGGGGGATGTCCTCCCAGTGCCGCAGGGCGCACAGCGCCACGTGCTCATCCGTGGGCCCCCTCTGACCTGTGGATGCCAGCGGGTCAGCTGCACATATGGGCTCAGCAGAACAAGATCTGTGCTGGGCCAGGGACTTGGGCACAAAGAGGCCCCCGCACCAGCCCTGGGTCACACGTCTTCATGGTACTGTTGGGGACACTGAAGCACGGAGGGAGAAGCAGCTTGCCCAAGCTCTCGGCTGTCCCACAGGGCCCAGAGGTCTGTGTCCTTGGGTTCTCTCCGCCTGGGGAACTTGACCAGAGTCCCCTGAGGGGGTGTGATGTCAGGAGGGCAATGCCCAGCGTCCGGAAGGCGGTCAGCACGAGGTCCCCGCACAGCTCTGCCTGATTCTCTGGGAAGGGCCACGTGGGCGCAGGAGCGGGGAGCGGGCAGGGCTTGTAGCCACGTGACCTTGGACGGTCACTAACTGCTTTGGGTCTCAGATTCCTCATCTATTGAATGGGGAGACCCTCCCTCGCCCAGGATGCCGAGAAGGAGAGAGAAGGAAGGAGCAGGCAAGCGCTGTGTAGCATGGGGAGCCTGGGCAGAGGTGGGCAGACAGGAGAGGGACTCGGGGCCGAGGAGACCCCAGGCCGGGCCTCCGGGTTCCATCAAGGGAAGTGTGGGTCCCTCCTTGGCCCCTGCCCCCCCTGTGGCTGTGCCCAGCCCCCGTTACCGTTCTCATCTTCCATCTCGGAGGGCCCGGTGAAGACGCGGTTGGACACCTTCACCCTCCCGGGGGGCCCGAAGTGGGGGCCGTCCACTTTGCCCTCCTTGCACAGGCGGGTCAGGATCTGGCTGGGCTTCATGGGGTCCCGCCAGATATTGTAGCCGTGTCTGTGGGAGGGCACACAGGCTCGTGGGGCTCAGGTGGGCTGGGCCACTCCCAGGTGGCAGCTGGTTACGGCCGATTCTCTAAAGTTGTCTGTTGCCCTAGTGCAGTGATGGCGAACCTATGACACGCGTGTCAGAGGTGACACGCGAACTCATTTTTTTTGGTTGATTTTTCTTTGTTAAATGGCATTTAAATATATAAAATAAATATCAAAAATATAAGTCTTTGTTTTACTATGGTTGCAAATATCAAACACTTTCTATATGTGACACAGCACCAGAGTTAAGTTAGGGTTTTTCAAAATGCTGACACGCCGAGCTCAAAGGTTTGCCATCACTGCCCTATTGGGTCCCGCTATGGGTTCCAGGCTCAGCTGAGGTGCTGGGACAGCTGGAGGCTGATCTCTCCTGCCCTGGGCTCTGGCCCCAGTGCCCAGTGTCCCAGTCTCCCATCTCCCTCCCTGGGGCCCACTTCTCTAAAACCTCAAAGACTCCCATGAGGACACGGATAACCAGAGAGGTTAAGGGATGTAACCAGGGTCACACAGCCTGTCATTGGCAGAGACCAGCCAGATCCCCGGCAAAGGACACAGTGCCATCTCTCTCTACCCTCCTTGCCCTGCCTCCTCTGTCCTGGAACCCCCTGTGGCTCTCTCTTTGTCTTAGACTCTGTCCTGGCCACGGAAGGCTGTGCCCGGAGCCTGCAGGGGTTCAGGCCTGGCCAGGAACAGAACCTGTACTATGTCCAGCTTCCCAAACCCCCTGCTCTGAAGGGTATTTTCAGAGTCAGGGTACAGCAGGTGGGCCCCGCCCGCCCCACCTACATGGAGTAGGTCTGGGCGATGCCGCAGGTGGCGCGGTGCTTGCTGTAGAAGCGATTCTCCAGGTCAATCTTGGTTTCCCCGATGAGGTCATCGGTGCCGACCAGGTCCCAGTCATACACGGACACCGTCAGCATGGATTCCATGGGGAAGGACGCCTCGATGTCGAAGGACCTGGCAGGGCGGAGGTTGGGAGACGGGTTGAGGGTGAAGTAGGGTGGGAGGGGGTCTGGGCTGGAGAAGCTGGGGTGGGAGTAAGGGGCCCGCAGGAGGCCTTACTTCCCAAAGACAGGGTTGAGCTGCTTGGAGATGTAGTTCTCCTTGTCCCGGATGTCAGTCTTGCCCAGCCGGATGGCGATGTAGGGGTCCGCTTTGCCGTTGATGTCTGCCGGGTGCAGGTCTGTGGCCTGAGATGGGAGACGTGCTCCTGAGCAGGCTCCCACACCCTCCTCATCTTCCAGTGCCCCCGCCCTGCTCCCTGATAGTCCCTGATGGTGACGGGCGGGACCACTGGACCGGGGGCAGGAGGCTTGCTGTGTGCCCTCCAGCCTCAGCTTCCTCATCTATAAAAGATGGGAACCAGCCCTAGCTGGCTTGGCTCAGTGAACAGAGCATCGGCCTGCTGACTGAAGGGTCCAGGGTTCAATTCCAGTCAGGGGCACGTACCTCAGTTGCAGGCTCAGTCCTGGCCCCTGCGTATAGGAGGCAACCAATCCAGGTGTCTCTTTCACATTGATGTTTCTCTCTCTGTTTCTCCCCCTCCCTTCCACTCTCTCTAAAAATCAATGGGAAAATATCGTTAGGGGAGGATTAACAAAAAAATAAAATAATTAGAAAAAGATGGGAGCTAGACCAGATGACCTTCAGGTGCCTCCCAGGCAGGGGCTGTCAGTTTGCAGCTGCCTCGACCCTCCTGGGCAGGGGCACTGGGTGACTGGGGAGGGGGTGACGGGGGAGGGGGCGACGGGGAAGGCTCACCCGGACCACATAGACTCGGACCAGCACGTTGATGGGGTCGTTGCTGGGAATGCCCTGGAACATGCCATAGGTGGGGTCGTATCCGGCTTCCCGGGACACATCCTCTGGGAGTGGCACTTTGTACATGCAGAGGGAGCCCTGGGCAAGGCAAGCGTGGGTCAGGGTGTGGGTTTCTCTGAGCACGGGGGTGGGGGGGGTTGGGGCTGGCACCCTGTGGGGGCAGGGCCTTAACTCTTTGGTGGCTGGATCATGGGAGGACCAGGGGGTCTGGAGGAAGTGGCCAGGGCAGCGGCAGGGAGGGGGATAAAGTAAGCAACTTGGGGAGCCCTTGGGGCAGATGCTCTTTATCAGTCAGCACGGAAGTCTTTTCATATTTTACCAACCCGTGCCGCTGACAGTTCCACGCAACTGTCAGCCTTGAGTGCAGGCTGGTGTGGCGGTCGGGGTGGCGGGGGGCTCAGGGTACAGGGCCTGGGGCTCCTCGCCTGACCTTGAACCGGCCGACGATGCGCTCCTCCTCGGTGGAGCCATCTTCGTCATCGCCTGTCTTGCCTCGAAGCAGGTTGAAGGTGTGCAGCCAGTCCTCGAAGTGGTCGAACTCTGCCTCCAGCTCCTTGGGGTACACCTGAGCCAGGCTGAGCCGTCAGGGGGACGTGGCCCGTCCACCTGCCTCCCTCTTGTCCCATCTGCCACCTCCTGCCCTCGGGGGTGACCCCGCACCGCTGGCAGGGTCTGCCCCAGACCTTCACCTTGAGCTCGTCAATCTTGGATTTCTTCTTCTCAGGGGCCTCAGGCCCCTGGCCAGGCCCGGGACTCTGGGTTCTCTTCTTCTTCTCCTCCTTTGCGGCCTTTGCCTTCTTCATCGGCCCCTTCAGGCCTGGCCGGAAACAGAGAAGGAGGCCTGGTCAGTTCGGGGCAGAAACGATGGAGCAGGAAGGCCTGGGTGGAGTTCCAGCTCGCTACTAATTTACTTAGTAATTTCACTGGCCGGTCTCTGTGTACTCATCTGTGAAATGTAGACAGTACTCCCTGGCGTGCCCGCCTCACGCGGGTGCGGGTGCCACTAAGGTCACCCAGGGAGTGTGCACCAAGACTGTTGTCATGCCCTTTGACAGAGCAGGGCATGGGAGGTGCTCACTCTCCTCTCTGGAACCCAGTCTGCTCGTCTGTAACATTATGAGGGTTGCTGCACATCAGCATTTCCCAAAAGGCATTCAGTGGAACACCAGGTGGAGGTGTTCTTGAAAGGCTTTTGGAAGAAGGGTAGCATGGTCAAATGTGTTGGGGAAATATGTCATATCTTCCTTTTAGAGATTTATGGTAATATTTGTATATTAAAGGCACTGAGAAGTCCTGCACCAAAAGACTTACTTTTCACATTGAACCACAGAACTCCTTTTCCCTCCGGAATGTCCATTAACACTGTTCCATGGAAAAGTCTGGAAAATGCTGGGAAAGAGGAGCTCTGAGGTCCCTTCCAGCGCTTAGGTTCTGTGGCTCTAAATGTCTGTCCATCACTGTGGTTGCTGAACTGGTCAGAGTGAAAGCCACTCTGGATCAGGCCAGGCGTGCTTGCCAGTGCCCAGGGATGCCTGATGACAGCTGCCCTTGGCTGCTGCAGCCGTGTGGGCCCGTGGGCGGGAGAAAGAGGTGCAGTGGGCAGGGGAGCCAGCCATCTGGGGGCACGCGGCGGGGGGAAGGAGCGGGGGGCCCAGGCAGAGATCTAGGGTTCCAGGGCTCACCCTCAATGTTGTCCATCTCCTCTTTCTCCTCCGAGTCCATTCCTGAGGCATCTTGCTGTCGAAGTTGCTGCCAAAAGATGAGGTGAGGAGGAGGAAAGGTGGGCTTCTTGGGGAGGGTCTGCTGACCCCCCACTGCCGTCTCAGACCAGCCTTAAGTGCACTAGACACAGAAACTCCTTCCTACTGGGTTACAAACCCATTGCGTGCTCTGCTTACGTGCATTAAACCAATGCATGATGTGGACCTATGACCAACTGTACTTAGGGGTTTATGATTCTTTAAATTGTGCATCATTAAGAATATAGTGTCCTTTAATGTTGCCTGTTATATTATTATAGTATAATGTAGAAAGTATAACTGAGTGAGTTATACCTTCACTCAGTTCACCTCACCCACTGGAGACGCAATCACTAGGTTTCAACCAAAGCCCACGGTCACATGGTGGCAGCCTGTGCGTTCAGACAAGGAGACCACAGGCAGCCCCTGGAGCTCCAGCCTGGTCGCCCCGGATCCAGGAGGTGACGGTGGGAGGAGATCCTGCTGTGTCCCCCAGTTATCTGCTTTCCTGTTCTGGACGAGTTTTTCTCGGCACACAGCCAACTTAGCTTCCCTGGTAGCTGTGTGGCCATGGGACTAGATTCTGGCCCATACGTTCAATTTCTGGATTGGGCCCTTAAAGGAAAGGGGTATGACTCCTCTTCCCCCCTTTACCCTCTCCTGTGCACTGCTATTAGGACATGAGGGCAAGCCCCCTCTAACTGTACACATGCAGGAAGCAGGTGGTAGGATCTTGGTCCTTGACACTGCGGAGTCACCGTGCCAGCCTTTCCTCGCTCACACGGCTCTAGCTCACTGCAGCTTAGCCCGTGCTCTCACTAATGGGGATGTGAGCAGCACACACAGCGGGGGCCACAGAAGGCGCCTGGGGAGGGAGTGTGGCTGAACCAGCACCGCTGAGGAAACACGACTGCAGGCACATGTCCCGCCTGGTCAGCCAGCCAGTCAGGAGCGCCCTGAACTAGGAAGACAGCGCGGAGACGAAACAACGGAAGAAGAGGAGGGATGCGCTTTCTGGAACTTGCCACCGGGCTCAGCAGACGGAACCCATGTGCACACAACAGGGGAAGAGCTTGCCCCCGCCCCGGTGACGGAGATGAGTCAAAACAGTGTGAAGGTGGGCGAGTGCTTGAGAAGCTGTTTCTGTTGGACCCCTGAGCACGTTCTCCTCTTCCTCACACGTCACCTCCTCTGGGAAGCCTCCCCAGACCCCTGCAGCCACTGACTTGCTTTCGTCACCACACTGTACTGTCCATTTCACCCGGCAAGCAGAGGGCTCCTCGGGGCAGGGGTGGCGTCTTATCTTTCAGCTCCCACAGCATCTGGGATGGTGTCTGACCCTTATCCATTCCAGAGACGTTTGTGAAATAAATGGATGAGGATGAGAGAAAGGCAAGCCAGGGAAGGTGAGTCCTGAGCTAGAACTTCAAGGCTGTTCCAAGCTCATGCGAATGGGGTGGAGGAGCCAGCTCTGGTGGGAGCAGGAAAGAAGGTGGGCAGGAGGGCCTGATGTGGGGTTGGGGCCACCTCTCCGATTCCCCCTTAGCCCCTGGCCCAGGCGCAGGCCTCACCTCCTTCATGGTGTCGATGGAGGCGAAGTACTTGGACCACCAGTCCAGCATGCTCTCATCCGGCTCCTCCTCCTCCGGCTCGTCCGAGCTGCCCTTCTTCTTCTTCTTCTTCTTCTCCTTCTCCTCGTCAGCCTGGTGGACAGGCCAGGTCCAGAGTCCTGCATACATCCCTGCGCCCTGGCCATGCCCTGAACAACCAGGGGTCTCCCATCTGTTCTGACCACTGCTCCCGGAAAGCCCCGGGCTTCTCGAGGCTCTGTGGGGCCACCAATAGCAGAGGAGCAGGGCTTTGTTTTAGGGAAGAGGATGCCATGACTGGAGAGGTCATGACCTGCCAACATGAGCCACTGGCCAAAGCAGGAGTGGCACTCAGGGGCCCTGCTGCCCAAGCAGCTCTCTCCCTCGGCCTCTTTGGAGGGTGTGCAGGTGTGAGCACCCAGGGGCTGGGGGTAGCTCAGTGCCTGATGCTAGGCCCAGTGTAGGGTCCTCTTTCCCCAGAACCTCCCCCTCCATGGTCCCCTCACTCACCACATCCACCTTGATGACGGCATCAGAAGTCTGCAAAAGGGAACCAAAGACATGGGGACAGAATTAGCGCCCGGGGCCTGGAGTGGAGGCAGCTGCCCAACTAGGGAGCGTGAGGAGAGGGAGCTCTCGCAGGGATGCTCGCTGTGTGCCGAGTCCCTGTGCCCCCAGGGTTAGCTCTGCACTGTAGGCACACTACTGCTGAGCCTGCAAAAGGCCTGCTTCACAGAGGTTCCCCCAGACCCGCAGGGTGGTGGTTCTCAACCCCGAGACAGCTGGGGACTCCCCAGATGATTTCAATGCGAGGTCAGGGTTGGGAGGGGATGCTGGCCACATGCAGTTCAGTGACGTTGGCTAGATGGAGTCAACTTCAACTCCATTGTTCCCCCCTCACCAGGTCAAGGCCTTAAAAATTAAGTGAATATGCACACACACAATTGCATAGCCAAAGGGGACCCTGGTGAGACACTCCACCAGAGCCCAGGGCCTGTGGGATGAGGGGGATGCTAAGGTATTGTTCTCTGTCTTGTTTGTGATAGCCTGAAACTAGGGGCTTCCCAGCAGACCCCCAGGAGGACTCAGGAGGCTGGGAGTTGAGGAGTTGGGGATCTCCAGGTGTAGCCCCGGAGCCTGGCAGTGCCACCCCAGGGCCGTGGGCCAGGCACTGGACCTCATCTGCTCCCCTTTCCCAAGAGTCATGCCCACTGCTCACTCAGCCACTGGCCAGGACCCTCTGGGGCCAAGAATTATGAGCCAAGAGAAGGTGGGCCTGATGAGGAGTCGAGCAAGCTCAGATCTCAGAAGCTAGGAGACAGCCCAGGTTGTGTGAAGCAGGCCAGGTTGGAAATGAGATTTGGAGAAAGTGGTGGAGAGGAGGCCCACTTCCATCCCCTCAGCACTGTCTGGACGCAGGATGGCCTGCTCCAGGCTGGCCTCCATCCTGCCCTCGCCTGCCCCTGCTGACTCCACATCCAAACCCCAGGCGGCAGGTCTCCCTCTGGCAGACAAATGGCCTGAGTCGTAGGACCAGGAGGAACAAGGAGCTTCCAGCTGGAGATCCTTCCACAACCAAGGTCTGGGGAGAGTTGTCTGTGAATGGCTGGAATGGAGAACCAGGAACCCTTGGGAAAAACCACTGGGAATCCATCGCTTACGGTGGTGTCAGTTGGAGTGAGAATAATTGCAGGCTATTGCTTCCAATCGTTACTGCTCGTTGTGTCTCTCATACATGCACACCACACACTCGTGCTCACACACACACGCACACACCCAGAGTCTAGGATGGAGCTTTCTGCACACACAGTCAGTGTTAGCCCTGGGCACGCGCACACCCAGGGTCTAGGATGGAGCTTCATGCACGCACAGTCAGTGTTAGCCCTGGGCACGCGCACACCCAGGGTCTAGGATGGAGCTTCATGCACGCACAGTCAGTGTTAGCCCTGGGCACGCGCACACCCAGGGTCTAGGATGGAGCTTCATGCACGCACAGTCAGTGTTAGCCCTGGGCACGCGCACACCCAGGGTCTAGGATGGAGCTTCATGCACGCACAGTCAGTGTTAGCCCTGGACACGCGCACACCCAGGGTCTAGGATGGAGCTTCATGCACGCACAGTCAGTGTTAGCCCTGGGCACGCGCACACCCAGGGTCTAGGATGGAGCTTCATGCACGCACAGTCAGTGTTAGCCCTGGGCACGCGCACACCCAGGGTCTAGGATGGAGCTTCATGCACGCACAGTCAGTGTTAGCCCTGGGCACGCGCACACCCAGGGTCTAGGATGGAGCTTCATGCACGCACAGTCAGTGTTAGCCCTGGGCACGCGCACACCCAGGGTCTAGGATGGAGCTTCATGCACGCACAGTCAGTGTTAGCCCTGGGCACGCGCACACCCAGGGTCTAGGATGGAGCTTCATGCACGCACAGTCAGTGTTAGCCCTGGGCACGCGCACACCCAGGGTCTAGGATGGAGCTTCATGCACGCACAGTCAGTGTTAGCCCTGGGCACGCGCACACCCAGAGGCTAGGATGGAGCTTCATGCACACACAGTGTTAGCCCTGGGCACGCGGGCAGCGGCGGCCCGGCTCACAGGGAGCCTCACCCGCAGCTGCATGCGCCAGGCCGTGTGGCACTGACCCCGTGCGCCTTACCGCGTCCAGCTTCACCATGGTCTCCAGCTTCTTGACGGGCACCTCTGGCTCCATGTTCACCACGACCTCCCCTGTGGGGTGAGAGGAGGGGCCCCCATTGCACAGCACACGGCAGCCCCGGAGGAGTCTTACTGGACAGAGAGATGGACAGACAGGCAGACAGACAGGGAAGAGCAGGAGTAACAGTGAAAGTCAGGCGTGAGCAGAAGGACCAGAGGCCTAAAGCTGATTTTTAAGAAGAGAGGAGGGCGGGGCAGTTGAGAGATAACTGATGGGCATAAGGAGAGGGAGAAGGTGAGCGAGAGGGGAGGGAGGGCTGCGGTTGAGAGAAATAGTGGAGGCTGGGCTGGGAGGGAGGCCTGGGTCTTCTCCCAGAACCAACCTGGGAAGCCATCTGCCCTCAGGCCCTCTAAGAACATCTCCAGCTCTGGCTCTTTCTGGCCCTAGAACAGCGGTTCTCAACCTGTGGGTCGTGACCCCTTTGGGGGTCGAATGACCCTTTCACAGGGGTCGCCTAAGACCATCAGAAAACACATATATAATTACATATTGTTTTTGTGATTAATCACTATGCTTTCATTATGTTCAATTTGTAACAATGAAAATAACATCCTGCATATCAGATATATACATGACGATTCATAACAGTAGCAAAATGACAGTTATGAAGTAGCAACGAAAATAATTTTATGGTTGGGGGTCACCACAACAGGAGGAATGGTATTAAAGGGTCGCGGCATTAGGAAGGTTGAGAACCGCTGCCCTAGAATGAGGGGCCGATCCGGGCAGCTCTGGCTCTCAGGATAGGACCTCCCCCCTGGCCTCCTCTGTACCCACTCGGGGATGCACTGGAGGAGCGAACTGGTGGCTGTGTGGACTGGACCGTGAGCTGGAGCTCCTCCCATGGACTGAGTGGAGACAGGCCTGGGTTTTGGGGTGTGGTCATACCGGTGCTGTTCCAGTTGGGGGCTGAATGGTCCGGGGGCCGGTAGATGAAGCGCCGAAGGGAGCTAACGGCGTGGGAGCCCACCAGGGTGTAGCGGCCGAAGGCCCGGCAGTCCACCACACGGATGTTCAAGGGCGGGTGCAGTAGCTCGTTCTCCGGGAGGTCCTGGGGTGTTGGCCAATGGAGCCTGAGCTCAGAGAAGGGGGCAGAGGCTCCTGGCCTTGCCCAGCCACACCAGCCACACCCAGCTCTGCCAGGCTGTGCCCAGGCCTGCACCCACCACTTCAAACCACTTGACAAGGGTGCTGAAGTTGGGGTTCTTCTTGTAATTGTGGATCATGGATGACTGTACCCCCTTCCCCGCACACTCGATGTCCACCCTCGGCCGGTCCACCTGGGCCAGGTTCACCCGCTTCAGGTCCCGCAGGCCCCAGAACAGCACCTGGGGGGTGGGGGTCAGGGGAGATGAGAGTCCCCTCAGTCAAGGGAGCCAGCCATGGGTGGGCTGGGCCACCTGAGGAGGAGCTGGGCCGTGGAGTGGGCAGTGAGTCAGGAGGGGCAGGGCCAGGAGAGCTGACAGGAGTGGGTGTGGCGGGCAGAGAGGAGGGCTGGGAAAGGCCCAGAACATGGCCGGGCAGCTCAGATCAGACCGGCCAGACCCTGGGCTGGCGGGGGCCTGGGCCTGCTGCTGGCTCCACGTATGACCTTGGACAAGTCACTTCCCTTCCAGGTCCCTGTCTCCTTGTCTGAAAAAGGAGATGGCCTGAGGTTGGGGAGACCCCTGGAATATGATGTCAGTGATGTCATATGTGCTTATGACCCCGATGGAGTAAGAGAGTGAGGGAGCAAGGAAGAGCGAGCACAGCAGGGCCTGTCAGGGGAAGGAAGGAGGGATGAGGGGGTGAGTGGAGCCCTCACGCACCTCGATTCGGTATTTGCTGAGCACGGGCCGGATGCCCACGGGAACGGGCATGATGGGACCGCGATCTGTGTCCACCGGGCCATTGATGGGTGGCAGGTCGGCCTTTCCTGCTGGCCCGATCTGGGGAATTGGGGTCACAGGTCACACCCTGCAGAGCCCAGAGAGTGGGCTCTCCCTTCCCAGGGGTTAGTTGCCATGTGATCTGGGGAGACAGGGGGTAGGCCCAACACCCGGGGCCCCTAAGAACCACGCTCCCAGCTCTAGTGGGACCGGCCTCTGAGCAGGCTGGGGAGCGGAGGCCCACCTGCAGCAGCTCGAAGGCGGCCAGAAGGTCTCCGGCCGTGGCGTTGCCGCGGTAGATCTGGTAGTACTCGAGCTGGGGCGGGAAGCGGGGCGGGCAGTACGCCTCGTCAGCCATCTTCACCACGGGCTTGGCGAAGGTCCGGCCCATGAAGTCGCATTTGCCCTGATGTGACAAACAACCAAGGTGGGCACTGGGAGCTGGAGCTCACTGAGCAGCGTCACACCTGGGGTCTCCCTCTGTCCTTGCCACAGCCCCGGGAGGTCAGGGCAGGTGTGATCACCCCATTTCACCAATGGGACCCCAAGTCTCACCACAGACTTGCTCATGGCCATGCTGGCAGTGAATGGCAGTCGGGACTCAGGCCTAGAAACGAGGCCCTCCTGCTTCTAGTCTGGGGCTCGCTCAGGGACCCCAGTAGCTGAGTGCTTGTCGTAAGTGGCTTCCCAGCTCTGGAGGGATCACTCCGATTTTTCCCTCCCCGACTCTAGAGCTCTCATGGAGGGCTGGGAGGCTGTTACTGACTGGTAGGTGTGGGCAGGGGGCCAAGGGCCCCTCGGGATGGGGGAAGGCTGGGGACAGCAGGACTGCTGACGCCTGTTCTGCAGACTGGGCCTGAGCTCGGTCTGCCGGTGCCGGGAGGTGGGGACACCCTGACCCATCTTCTCCCTGAGACCCAGAGGCCCGCAGTGGAGGGAAGGGGTCAGGCTGCAGTGACAGGGCGGGAGCCACTTGGAGGCTGGTCAGCAGCCCAGGCTCCCACGCTCCCAGCAAGCACGTGGCTGAGGGGTCCGGGGAGTGGCCATCGATGCACGTGCAGTGCAGTGAAGAAGGGGTAGGTCCCTGGCCTCAGAGCCCACCCATACCATGCTGTCCTGGTCGTAGATTTCAATGACAATGATGGGGGGATCATCCCGCAACTCATGAGCCTCGCCGTACAGCTCCAGGTTGTCGAACACCAGCATCTGGTCCCAGGTGGGGCACAGGGTCTCATTCAGCACCTGCAGCAGGGGGTGGGGGGCGGGGGGAGACAGGTCATACGTGGTGGTGGATGGACAGCTATCCCAGCAGAAGCCACCCCCAGTCACTGTGGCTTCCAGGGGACTCGGGCAGGAGTGTCATGCTCCCCGACTCGTCTGGGCACTTAAAATGAAGGGTAATGTGAGGCCTGCTCCCACCCCCTTTGCCTATATTTTTTTCTTGTTGAATGGAACCTCACTGAAGCCGTCACCAGTGTGGCCTGGGTGCGCAGTTATCTGCAAGGCTCCCTCTCGGGGTCTGGGTGCTGGCCGATGTGTTTCTCCAGGTTCCACAAGCTCATAGGCCCCCCTCACCTCAACGCCCGGGCCCTCACCTCTGTGCACTGACTCTGGTTGATGAAGAAGACACGGGCGAAAGGGTCCGAGAGGCCGCTGCTGTCCGCGGCGAAGAGGCTGCGGGCCTGGTACATGTGCGCCCGGAGCTGGAACACCTGCTTCTCTGTGGGGAAGGGCGGTCTGAGGCTCGGGGATGCCCCCCCGCAAGCACCCTCCCGGGGAGAGGGCTGGGAGCCCGGGGCCCCACTCACTGGTGTAGACCAGGCTGATGGGTGGGAAGGAGTGCAGGCCCAGGCCCTGGGCCGCTTTCACCTCCTCGAAGCCGCAGGGCAGGCCGCACAGGAAGTCCTTGCGCTGCTTGCTGAGGCCCAGCCACAGGTAGAGCTCCACCTTGGCCTGCACCGTCCAGCCCATCGAGCCGAAGCCCCGCTTGCCGGGCAGCTGAGGGTGGGCATGGGGTCAGCACCGAGAGGGACGGGCAGGGGGGACCTTGCTGTCCTCCCCCATTCTAGTCTCTCTCCAGCTCTGTCTTCTCTGAGCTCCTGCTACTGGAGGGCCTGCCAGACCCCTGCTGGAGGGCTGCTCCCCCCACGGGGAGACCGGCCCTTTGAAGAAGCCAGAGCCAAACTCTGAGCCCCAGTTGGCGCAGTCCTTGCCCAGCTCTTCCTCCACCATGGAGAAGAGCAGGTCCTTGGAGGGCACCCGGGCGTAGGCGATGCGTTTGTTGTTGCTCATCATCCAGATGAAGACGTCGGGGATGCTGTGCTGGGGCTGTGGTGAGGGCGGGAGGGGAGCCCGTGAGTGAGGGGCCACTGCTTGGTTGGGGCTCCCCGAGCTCCCTGACCACCAGGGTCTTTGTCTCAGGACCCAGAGGGCCAGGCCTGGGCCTCAGAGGAAGGACCCAAGATGCTGGTCTTTCTTCACCTCCCACCGATGGGGATGGGGCGGGAAGGGCACACGCAGGAGGAAGGCTTGTTCACTCCTGTCCCCCACCAGCTGTCAGAGGAGGGGAGGCCTCCAGGGTGGTCCAGCCCCGCCCCTTCCTGTGCAGCCCCTCCCTCTCTGGTCCCTGGGGTGTGGGGCCGGCACCCCTCTGTGCCCAGGGCAGGGGCGCACCTCGTCCGCCAGGAAGCGCAGCTTCTGCAGGAAGTTCTGGCACAGCCTCAGCTTGTCCCGCACCGTGTGGCGCTTCACCTGCGCCCGCAGGGTCTTCGCCTGCTGCCCCATGCTCTCCTGCAGGGGCGCGGGGGGACGTGGGGCTCAGGCCATGATGCAGGATGGAGGGGCTGGCCCTGGGGCCTGTGGCCTCAGACATAGGCCCTCCCACCTCAGTTTCCCCCTTTCACCTCCAGACCCCCCTCCGCCCCGTGTGGTCCCGCACTGGGACCGGCGTGTCCTCACCAGCTCCCGCAGGCACGATTTGAGGCGCTCCCTGTCCAGCCTGGTACGGGACATGTGGCCCTGATCCTTGTCGGCGAGGGAGAGGAAACGGCTGGGGGGTGAGGGGAGCAGGGCTTAGCAGAGCCCACCCACCAGCAGGGGCCTGCAGACACCTCCTTCTCTTTCCAGCCCCCCCACCGCCAGCCCCTGCCCCAGGGCCCCATCCCACGGCCCCATCCCTCACCGGCAGCCACAGCTCAGCTCCTCCAGGACGCCCCGCAGTCGGCGCTCGGGGTAGGACTTCTCCGTTTTGATCATCTCCTGCACGTCGTTCAGGCCTTCCTCCTGAGAACCAGGCGGAGGGGTGCCCGCTGAGCCACAGCCCCTCCCCCAGCTCCCCACCCCTCTGGGAAATAAAGGGCTAGTGACTTGGGACCTCTCGCTAGCGCCACCTCCAGTGTCCCACCCGCATCAGGAAACCACCCAGTTTCCAGGCTCTGCCCTCAGAGCCTGCGGCCTTCAGTTCCCGAGGAAGATGCCACCTGGGCTCTGAATCGTGGTCCCGGTGGGCTCTGGGCGGAACTCAGGGTTAGCTGGGGAAGGTGCTCAGCTGCCTTCAGGGAACCCCAACACTGGCCGGGTCAGGAGTCCCAGACTCCACTCCGGTAGCCCTTGGGCTCTTGGCCCCCTTCTGGGACCTGAGTCACCAGAACGTAGGTCCTGCTGGGTCACCCCGCAGTCCCTGCCCCCATTCTCGACCCCTTCACAGTGAGCTGCTGGGCAAACGGGCCTTGGGTGGGGCCCAGGCGGCTGCAGCCCGCCCCACCGTCCCCGCCCCCTCCCGCCCTGTCCTGGCGCTGACCAGCTTGTCTGCTATGTGGTCCATGATGTTGGCGTTGTAGAGGCGACGGCGCTGGTCTGGCCACCAGCTCTTGATGTAGATGCAGGGCTTGTGCTCCAGGTAGGGCAGGTGGAAGTAGTTCCTGGGGCGGGAGGAGGCGGGAGGTGGAAGATTGGGGGTCCACAGAGGTGGGAGGGCTAGGCCTGGAGATGGTGGGAGGCAACAGGCGGGCCCTCCCAGGCCCCCCTCGGCCACCTGGCTCACCTGTCGGTGATCTGGGGCCGCATGGGTGGGGTGGAGGAGACTGAGGCCAGGTCCCCACCCTCCTCCGTCTCATCGTCACTCGAGTTCTGGATCAGATCCACTTCCTCCTCATCCCCGGGCTCCTTCTGAGGTCGCGGCCGCTGGGGTCGGGACAGGCCATCCACCTCATTCCCATAGTTGCCTGGAGGCAGGAGGGGCGCACAAGGGCTGAGAGTCCTTTACCCACAAGGCCCCACCCTGCCCTCCAATCCCGGTGCCGCCGTGGGTTTGTGGGAGGGGAGAAGGAAGGTCCGGGCATGGGGACGGTGCTGGGGTCTGTGCCCACTCAGACGTGACAGAACACTCGCCAGAACCGGTCCCCATGTCCTCCACACCCGTAAACCCCTCACAAAGAGCCCTGACGACCCCTGAGCTCAAGGTCCAGCCCAGGGCATGGCCTGAGTCCCCCTCTCCCCTCTCCAGCCTCACAAGGGCCTCTTCCTTCTGCAGGGATGGCTTCTTTCTCCCCGTGTCCCAAATATAGCCTAGCACTGTGGTGGGGCCCAGGCCACCCCGTGGGCATGTGTGCCCCACAGGCACGTGCTGTGTTGTATGCCCCACAGGCACGCGCTGTGTGCAGTGTGCACGCTGGAGGACACACGGAGGAAAGTGGTCACAGTTTCCCTCCCACCAGGGCTGTGGTGCAGGGTTAGCAGTGACCACCCAGAAGCCCCGAGGCCTGAAGTCCTCTCAGAGGCCAAGCACTCACCTATGGTGACCTCAAAGGTAATTGGCTTTTCTCCGTTTTTCCGGTCGATCATTGAGGCTTCCAGAAAGGCTCCGAATAAAAAGAATTCTTCGATTTTCCCCGCGCAGCTCTGAGGGGAAGGTGGGTGAAGCCATCATTAAGCTTCACGGGGATGCTGGGCTGGGCCAGGTCTCCTCCTCCAGGTCCTTTGGCCGCTGGTGGGCACATCCCACCCAGACCCCGGAGGACCGAAGGCCCAATCCCTTTCGCCCAGGCAGAGCCCGGGCCCAGGCTGCCATGGCGGGAAGGGGGCTGAGCTGGGGGACCTGGAGGGAGGACAGCACAGCCTCCTGGGGCCTCACCTCTGACACAGGCGTGGCCTGCTCCACCTGCACCTCCGTGGAGCTGGTGAGCTCAGGGTTGGAGGTGTCCAGGATCTCCACAGCCAGGCCCAGCATGAGGCGGGCACGGAAGGACACGCCCTCACCCAGGCCCTCGTTCAGGTCCTGGTGCTCGTCCAGCAGCGTGTAGTTGCGTGTGGAGCCGTACATGTTCACCCAGGCCGGGCCCAGCGTGGGCAGGAAGCCTGTGAGCCGGAGAGAGAGGAGTGGCCTGTGTTACACCTCAGGGCCCGCAAGCGTTAGAGGGGCCTCTTCTGGGGGCTCCCAGCCTGCACCTCCTGATTGCTGAGCTGAGGACCCCAGGCCTTCGGTTGCGAGCATTTGGGGACACGTCCATCCCCTACACCGCAGTGAGCGCTGTGAGGACAGGAATGGCTGCTTCTCTCGCCCTGTATCCCTGGTACCCAGCATGCCCCCTGGGCTGTCGGAGGGGTCTGTGCCCACAAGTCTATAGATAGTTACTATGGCAATAGGACACATCTATATGTGATATGCATGCATATACACACATGTACAATTGTTATTTTCATTTTACAGATGGGAATAGTACAAAGGTCACAGGGACTCATTGTCAGGGCTGGGGTTCGAATCCAGGCAGCCGGGCTCCAGCAGGCCCAGTCAGCTCTGCAGACCTAGCCTGACTTTCCACCTCTCCCTTGAGGTGGGAGCCGCTGGCAGCGCCCTTGCTGTACCCAGCGCCTTCCAGGCCGGGGTGCAAGATGGTGGTGGTTGAAGGGGGCTCTCATTCATTTACTCCCTCCTTCAGGACCACCCCCCCCCATCTCCCACTGCTGACCTTTGTCCCCGTCGTTGGAGATCTTGCGCAGGTCAATGAAATGGGTGCCGATAGCCACGTCGTTGACCTTGTCCGAGTCGCGGATCTGCACCTTCATGCGTTTGCAGAGCGGGGGGAACAGGTCCGTGAAGACGACCTGCTCATTCCACAGCGGCTCGTAGCTGTTCTTCTGCACCGAGGTCTTGCCCTGTGCGAGGGAGTGAGCGATAGGGTTTGTGTGTGAGCATGCGTGGATGTGCTTACTTATGTGTGCATATGTGTGGTGTGTGTATGCATGTTTGTGTATGTACATATATGTGGTGTGTGTGTGCATGTGTGTATATGTAGGTGGTGTGTGTGTACTTATCTCCTCCACTCTTCCCCACCCCAGCCTCTCAGACTCTCCTTCCATTCGATGCTCCCCCTCAGTTGTTGGTCTCCAGGACCCAGAGGTGGGGAGGGTTCCCTAAGGCCTGTCCATGCTGAGACAGTTCCCAGTCCCCCGCCCCCTGCCCCTCTCAGTTGGCGTGCCCTCATCTCTCACTCCCCTCCCTTCTCAGGCCAGTCTCCTGGCTTCTGATTTTGCCTCATGTCAGCCCCTGGGCTCCCACATCTATCTGACGCCCGTCACCCCAGACCCCGCCCCTGCACTCGGTAGCCCAGTACCTTCTGGCCAGCAAAGAAGACCTGCACGTAGGGGTCAACCAGGTCCTTGTTCTCCCCGATGAACGCCTTCTTCACGTTGGCCATGAGGCTGGTGTTCATACGGGGCAGCCCCTCTGCCCGGTAGATCTTCACGTAGAAGCGGGCCCACTGGCGTTCGGCAGGCACACCATCGGGGAGCAGCAAGTTCCTGCCGGCACATACAGCTAGGGCACCAGGCTGGGCACCCCAGCTCCTGCCCTAGCATCTACGTACCCCTGGGGCCTGGGACAATCTCACCAGTCCCTCCTCTCCTGTGACAAGGAGTCTGTGGATGGTGAGGCCAGCGCAGGTGGCCCCAGCCCTGGCCAGAGTCCTTCCAGGGAGAGGTGGGCTATCTGGGGGTGGGTGAGAACAGGGGTGGGGGATGGAAGGTACGACTCTGAGCCAGTCCACCCAAGGGACTCCCTTTGGGGAAGGACGGGCCAGGCCGGGTCTCAGGCTGGGGGAAGATGGGAGCCTCACCCCTCGATGTCATCCTCCTCCGTCTCGTTGGCCTTGTGGGGCGTCTTGATGTTGTCCCCCTTGCCCACCACTGCGACGTCACACTTCACGTAGCCCTTTAGCCCAGCCGAGATGTCGTCGGGGTCGGACAGGATGGCCCACTTGTGGTGGAACTGATGCTCTGCAGTGGCGAGGAGCAGGGACTGCACCTGCGCCCCCTCCCAGGGGCACCCGCCCTCAGGGCAGGCCTCAAAGCTGCAGAGCTGAGGGCCTTCTTGGCCCCTAGATGAAGCCATCAGGTGCCCCTGGGCAAGGGCCCACTGCTCTGCTTGCCTCTGGGCCAGGGGGACAGAGGTCCCTGAGCAGGGGCAGCTGGGGCAAGGGCTTGTATCCAGGTGTGTGGTGTGACCACCTCCTAATGGATTCCTCCACCTGCAGCCCTCCTACCCCAACCCCTGCGCTCACCTGCACACAGCTGCCAGCAGAGCCTTCAGAGAGGCTCCCCTCTCTCACTGGGGGCTCCCCAGTGCTCAGGGTAAGACCACAGACCTTAGCATGGCCTGTGGGGCCTCTGGATACAGCTCTTCCTACTCACTATGCTCGTCCCACCCCATCCCTGTGCTCCTGCGAGGCAAAGCTGCTGACCCCTCTGAATAATTCACTCGCTATTTCACACCTTCATGCTGCTGGTCTTTGAGCTTGGGATGACCTCATCCCTGCTCTCCCTCTGCCCCAACCATTCTCCTCCCTGCTTAAACGTCTACTTCCTTTGTGAAAGTGTCTCCTCTTCCATGCAGCCTTCCCTGACTTCCTCAGAATTGCTAAACCTGACCCTTTTGTTCTTGCTGTTCCATAAGCACACTCCTGTCTCACGGACAAGTGATTAACTGCTTATTGTCTGTCCAATTTCAGACGGAAAGCCTCCTAGAGACAGGGTAGTGTCATCCCAATAACCCCAGGACCTGGGACAGTGTGGAGGAAAGGACAGGTATCAGGGAAGAGGCCTTTCCAAGATGGGTCACTGATCAGCTGCCTCCTGCACGCCCCCTACTGGGGATTGAGCCCACAACCCGGCCTGTGCCCTGACTGGGAATTGAACCGTGATCTCCTGGATCATAGGTCGATGCTCAATCACTGAGCTACTCCAGCAGGGCTTAAGCTTCACTTTAAAGCTGATTGCGAGCAGAGGGAAGCCCTGGCCTTGCTGCATGAAGGGCTCAGAACTTCCCTCTCCCCCCTCTCCCCTTCACCTTCTACCGCAGCTCAGACCCGTCCCTAACAAGGCGCAGGTCCCCCCGTCTGAGTCGCAGCCACGATGTGTACCAGCCAAGAGTCTATTAGGTTGAACCATGAAAAAGCTCCAATTTGTTCAACATAATAGTTGAGTGGCACCTTCCAGCCGCTTACCTTCTCCTGGCTGCTTTGATCTCGCCCGGAAATGGGAAGAATGGCTGGTGCCTCCTCCCTACTCTGTGAGGGTCCGATGCGACAGCCTGGCTGACAAGGCACTGCCACTGTCCAAAGGCCTAATGGCGTCGCGACTGCACCTTGAGTGGCGGGTTCCCTTCAGGGCTCGGGGAGCCCCGTGCCAGGCTGTACGCCCATGGTTCCAGCTGCCCAGGTGGTGGGCTTTGAGGACAGTGGAGTTCAGCGGGGGGCCCAGGAGTCACACAGTCTGGTGTCACCCCCGACCAGCTGGGAGACTGGGAAAGCCCTGGCACTTCCCAGAGCCCCAGGCCCCTCAACTGTAGAAGGGGTGATGCCACACATCCCAGCAGGGGGGCAGTCTGCAGCTCTGGGGCTCCCCAGGGTGCCAGCAGACGGGTGCATATAAGGCGGAGCACCCATCACTCCACATCCCTGATGGCTGTGTGTGCTCACGGCCCCACCGGGACCACCGGGGTGTGTATGTGCTTACTTATGTGTGCGTATGTGTGGGGTGTGTGTATACACGATATGTGTGGTGTGTGTATCCTGAGCCAGGGGCCGCCGGGGGGTGGAGGTGCTTCCTCATGTGTGCGTATGCGCGTGGTGTGTGTATACCGGAGCCAGGGACCGCCGGGGCGCGGATGTGCTTATGCGCGCATATGAGTGTGGTGTGTGTATCCTGAGCCAGGGGCCGCCGGGGGGTGGAGGTGCTTCCTCATGTGTGCGTATGCGCGTGGTGTGTGTATACCGGAGCCAGGGACCGCCGGGGCGCGGATGTGCTTATGCGCGCATATGAGTGTGGTGTGTGTATCCTGAGCCAGGGGCCGCCGGGGGGTGGAGGTGCTTCCTCATGTGTGCGTATGCGCGTGGTGTGTGTATACCGGAGCCAGGGACCGCCGGGGCGCGGATGTGCTTATGCGCGCATATGAGTGTGGTGTGTGTATCCTGAGCCAGGGGCCGCCGGGGGGTGGAGGTGCTTCCTCATGTGTGCGTATGCGCGTGGTGTGTGTATACCGGAGCCAGGGACCGCCGGGGCGCGGATGTGCTTATGCGCGCATATGAGTGTGGTGTGTGTATCCTGAGCCAGGGGCCGCCGGGGGGTGGAGGTGCTTCCTCATGTGTGCGTATGCGCGTGGTGTGTGTATACCGGAGCCAGGGACCGCCGGGGCGCGGATGTGCTTATGCGCGCATATGAGTGTGGTGTGTGTATCCTGAGCCAGGGGCCGCCGGGGGGTGGAGGTGCTTCCTCATGTGTGCGTATGCGCGTGGTGTGTGTATACCGGAGCCAGGGACCGCCGGGGCGCGGATGTGCTTATGCGCGCATATGAGTGTGGTGTGTGTATCCTGAGCCAGGGGCCGCCGGGGGGTGGAGGTGCTTCCTCATGTGTGCGTATGCGCGTGGTGTGTGTATACCGGAGCCAGGGACCGCCGGGGCGCGGATGTGCTTATGCGCGCATATGAGTGTGGTGTGTGTATCCTGAGCCAGGGGCCGCCGGGGGGTGGAGGTGCTTCCTCATGTGTGCGTATGCGCGTGGTGTGTGTATACCGGAGCCAGGGACCGCCGGGGCGCGGATGTGCTTATGCGCGCATATGAGTGTGGTGTGTGTATCCTGAGCCAGGGGCCGCCGGGGGGTGGAGGTGCTTCCTCATGTGTGCGTATGCGCGTGGTGTGTGTATACCGGAGCCAGGGACCGCCGGGGCGCGGATGTGCTTATGCGCGCATATGAGTGTGGTGTGTGTATCCTGAGCCAGGGGCCGCCGGGGGGTGGAGGTGCTTCCTCATGTGTGCGTATGCGCGTGGTGTGTGTATACCGGAGCCAGGGACCGCCGGGGCGCGGATGTGCTTATGCGCGCATATGAGTGTGGTGTGTGTATCCTGAGCCAGGGGCCGCCGGGGGGTGGAGGTGCTTCCTCATGTGTGCGTATGCGCGTGGTGTGTGTATACCGGAGCCAGGGACCGCCGGGGCGCGGATGTGCTTATGCGCGCATATGAGTGTGGTGTGTGTATCCTGAGCCAGGGGCCGCCGGGGGGTGGAGGTGCTTCCTCATGTGTGCGTATGCGCGTGGTGTGTGTATACCGGAGCCAGGGACCGCCGGGGCGCGGATGTGCTTATGCGCGCATATGAGTGTGGTGTGTGTATCCTGAGCCAGGGGCCGCCGGGGGGTGGAGGTGCTTCCTCATGTGTGCGTATGCGCGTGGTGTGTGTATACCGGAGCCAGGGACCGCCGGGGCGCGGATGTGCTTATGCGCGCATATGAGTGTGGTGTGTGTATCCTGAGCCAGGGGCCGCCGGGGGGTGGAGGTGCTTCCTCATGTGTGCGTATGCGCGTGGTGTGTGTATACCGGAGCCAGGGACCGCCGGGGCGCGGATGTGCTTATGCGCGCATATGAGTGTGGTGTGTGTATCCTGAGCCAGGGGCCGCCGGGGGGTGGAGGTGCTTCCTCATGTGTGCGTATGCGCGTGGTGTGTGTATACCGGAGCCAGGGACCGCCGGGGCGCGGATGTGCTTATGCGCGCATATGAGTGTGGTGTGTGTATCCTGAGCCAGGGGCCGCCGGGGGGTGGAGGTGCTTCCTCATGTGTGCGTATGCGCGTGGTGTGTGTATACCGGAGCCAGGGACCGCCGGGGCGCGGATGTGCTTATGCGCGCATATGAGTGTGGTGTGTGTATCCTGAGCCAGGGGCCGCCGGGGGGTGGAGGTGCTTCCTCATGTGTGCGTATGCGCGTGGTGTGTGTATACCGGAGCCAGGGACCGCCGGGGCGCGGATGTGCTTATGCGCGCATATGAGTGTGGTGTGTGTATCCTGAGCCAGGGGCCGCCGGGGGGTGGAGGTGCTTCCTCATGTGTGCGTATGCGCGTGGTGTGTGTATACCGGAGCCAGGGACCGCCGGGGCGCGGATGTGCTTATGCGCGCATATGAGTGTGGTGTGTGTATCCTGAGCCAGGGGCCGCCGGGGGGTGGAGGTGCTTCCTCATGTGTGCGTATGCGCGTGGTGTGTGTATACCGGAGCCAGGGACCGCCGGGGCGCGGATGTGCTTATGCGCGCATATGAGTGTGGTGTGTGTATCCTGAGCCAGGGGCCGCCGGGGGGTGGAGGTGCTTCCTCATGTGTGCGTATGCGCGTGGTGTGTGTATACCGGAGCCAGGGACCGCCGGGGCGCGGATGTGCTTATGCGCGCATATGAGTGTGGTGTGTGTATCCTGAGCCAGGGGCCGCCGGGGGGTGGAGGTGCTTCCTCATGTGTGCGTATGCGCGTGGTGTGTGTATACCGGAGCCAGGGACCGCCGGGGCGCGGATGTGCTTATGCGCGCATATGAGTGTGGTGTGTGTATCCTGAGCCAGGGGCCGCCGGGGGGTGGAGGTGCTTCCTCATGTGTGCGTATGCGCGTGGTGTGTGTATACCGGAGCCAGGGACCGCCGGGGCGCGGATGTGCTTATGCGCGCATATGAGTGTGGTGTGTGTATCCTGAGCCAGGGGCCGCCGGGGGGTGGAGGTGCTTCCTCATGTGTGCGTATGCGCGTGGTGTGTGTATACCGGAGCCAGGGACCGCCGGGGCGCGGATGTGCTTATGCGCGCATATGAGTGTGGTGTGTGTATTCAGGAGCCAGGGACCGCCGGGGTAGGGAGACTGAGAGCCCACGCCCCCGAGCCGTGTGCACCGCTGCTGGCTGGGCCGCAGCTACTCACCGGGCTGGGAGTACACGGTCCCCACGTCCATTTTGAAGGACCCCACCAGGGTGCCGCTGCGCAGCAGGTTCTTGGAGTGAATCACCTTCCGGGCAGAGCCACAGCCACCAGTCAGGCTGGGCGGGGCTGAGGCTCTCCAGGGGCAGGGGCGGGGTGGGGTGACTGATGGTGGCACCTCCTCAGTCTTTCTGGGGACCCAAGCCTCTGGGTGAAGCAGGAGAGCGTTTGGCCGGGCACGGGGGTGGGGGGCTCGCCGAGGCTCAGATGAGCCCCCCTGCCCTGGCCTGTTTTGGCTGGATGCCAGTACAGGTGAGCAGGTTGTGCACTGCGTAAGCCACCCAGCTATGGGGCGAGAGGGGCTCAAACGCAGCCTGCGCCCCGCCTGCCCAGCTGTGTGTCTGGGTGCAGGGCTGCCTTTTTGTGGCTGGTTTTCCCTGAGGGGCGCCCTTTCTATGTTTGCACGGAGGTGCAGTGTGAGCTGAAGGCCTGCCTGCCAGGGGCTGCTCCCCACTCACCGAGATCTTGATGATCTTGTCGAACATGACGTCAGGAGAGACGTGGAAGTCGAAGACGAAGTACTGGAGGGGGAAGGACCCAGGCCGCTGTCACTGGGTGGGCAGCAGCTAACACCCAGGGGCAGTGCTGGGCCCCTCCCTCCTGGCAGTGCCTGTCTGCACCCCGGCCATTTCCCCTGAGCCCCCAAGTTCAGGTGAGCAGCAGTGGCAGCCACTGGTCCTCCCTGACCCGGGGTGGGTGGGAGGCTGGGCCCCAACATGAGGGCCATACCCCAACCCCTAGGCAGGGCCAGTGCCACCGAGTGTGGGAGGGGAGGGAGAGGGGCAGTCGATGGAGCAGCCCTGGGCTGGGGGCTGGGAGACTGGGTTTCTAGCCCCTGTTTAGCCCCTTTCTAGCTGTGTGGCCTTGAGCAACATTTTCTGGACCTCAGTTTCCTGAACTGAACAAGCAGGACAATGACACCCTCCTTAGAGACATGTTGGGACTATATGTTGTGGTTATATGAGCTACATAGGCATCGCCATTCAGCCATAGGAGATACAGCCCATTTCGGAGATGTTAAAACAGAAAACAGGGGAGCTTTGGAACCGATGAATCTGGGGTACGAAGGCACGTAAACCGCTGGGAATGGCAAATGCTGCGGGCGTGGACTGTCCTCTCAAGTTGGGAGCTGCCCCTCCCAGGGGCGGTGCCCACCCATCTCTCTGGCCTTGGGGGCAGGCGCAGGGAATGAGGGTGTGGGGAGGAGTGGAGGCACCCCGCTTTCATGAACTTGTGGGCAGAAGGATGAAATGTTGCCCATGTATTTAGCGGGAAGATCTCAGGAGGATCTGCTCTTGGCTGTGGGTGAAGGTATGGCTGCGGAGACAGACAGACCGAGCTTTGACTGTTGGACCCATCACTGCTTTTTCTGAGCCTCAGTTTATCCCTCTGTGATGTGGGGAGAATGATTCAGGGCTGTCATGTTGACCTGCAGGGACATCATTCACAGGGGCGGGGGCAGCAGGTGTGTGGTGTTGAAGTCTCAATGAGATGACCTCTGTCACGCAGGGGTGCCCATGGTCAGTGCCCAACAAGCACCAGCTGCTAGCATGGCAGCAATACGTCAGGTGGGGGACGGAAGCTCTGGAGAGACGGTGGAGAGCCAGACACGCATATGGCAACTGACGCCTTGGGGGTGGGGGGAGTGGGGGAGGTGCCCGGGGAGTGTGTCGGAAAAGGCGGGGAGGGAGAAGCTGGCAGAAGAGGTCCCCAGAGGTCCCCAGGGGAGGGATCGGCAAGCAGATGAAAGGAGCCAGCCAGTCAGGGAGAGGGGGTGGATGTTGCACTGAGGGACAGCAGGTCCTTGGTGCAGTTAAAGATGGGCAGTTTCAGTGAAGTCATGGAACAGAAACGATGGTAGAGGTTGAGGCGTGAGTGGGAGGTGAGAAAGTGGAGCCAACTCACGTGGTCAGGCTGTGAATGGGAGGGGAGAGGTGGTCACTAAGGAGATATGTGGGCTTGAGGAAAGGCATAGCTAGATGGCTGGATAGTTGGATAGATAGATAGGAGATGGACAGATGTGTAGTTTCTGTCGTTGAGCATACATGATTTCTGGTAGCTATAGTTAGAATATGTGAGAGTAGAACACCTTATAGGCAAAGGTGGAGCCAAAAGGGACGTAAAGGCAGAGTGGGTGGTGTTGAGTGAATGTCATAATGCCAGACTCGTTGGGGTGCATCAAGAGAAAGATCCAGGGCAAAGGGGAGAGGTGGTTCAGGCAGAAGGAAGATGCCAGTGGCCGGGACCAGATGCATCCACAGAGAAGGGGTCTTGGCCTGGTCAGGTAGTTCTGGGAGGGCAGGTCCAGAGCCAGGCAGTCGGGCCAAGGCCGGCCAGGTGCCTGAGAGCTGTGCCAGCCCCAGGAGAGCGAGCTAGCTGAGGACAGCCAGACTTTTGCCCTCTCGGAGTGGTCTGTGGTCACATTCCTTGCACTTCCTGGGCGCCTGAGAGCTGTGCCAGCCCCAGGAGAGCGAGCCAGCTGAAGACAGCCAGACTTTTGCCCTCTCGGGCTGTCTGTGGTCACATTCCTTGCACTTCCTGGGTATATTTTCCGTTTGTAACCGTTTAGAAATCTGCTAAGTCATGTCGATGGTTCTCACCTCTCTCTTGTGATGACTGGAGCCAAAGGAAGGTTCTCCTTAACTAAGAATTAGCCAGAAGCAGTACACCTCTGGGACCAGGAGGAATGTGGTTGGGAGGAATCGTGGGAAGATAGTTTAGGGTGGTGCTTCTTAATGGGGGGGAGGGGGCGAGACATGCTGAGACTCCCAGGGGACATTTGGCAATATCGAAACATTTTTGGTTGCTACGGCTGGAAAGGGGATCGCTATTGGCATCTACTGGGTCGAAGCCAGTGATGCTGCTTAACATCCTACAATGCACAGGACAGTCCCTTACACCAGAAGTTACCCGCCCCAAATCACCATAGTGCTGGGCTGGAGAGACACTGCTTTAGAGGAAACAGAAACGGCGTAAATCAGAGCTACGTGGGTTTGTGAAGAAGAACAAAACTGTGACCAAGAACAAAGTTAAGGGCCGCTTGAGTGGAATGAATCGTCTTAGTGGATATAAATATGGAGTTTGGAAAGTGGTTTCGAGGCTGCAACTGGGAGGTGGCCCGTTGGGGCAGAAACTGTTGACTTTACAGTCCCCGTGTTGGCAGACATGGGCCCGGCCCACAGCAGACGTTTGCTTCTTCCTTTGGGTGAGTATCCATTCAGCAGAGTGTTCCCAAACCCCTCCAGGAACATGCCAGGCTCTGGGCTGGGCCACACGATGCAGGGGACTTAGAGGGAGCCTCCAGTCCACCAGGGAGACAGACACGAAGGACCAACCACAACTCAGGGACATTACTGTCACACAGAGAGAGGTGCACTGACCTCTGACCCAGAGAGTGCAGGGAAGGCTGCTCAGTGGCAAGGGCATTTGAGCTGGGCCCTGTAGGGTGAGTAGGAGTTGGCTGGGGAACCACAGAGTAGGGAGAGCAACTGTTTCCTTGGGAAGGAAGAAGCCATTTGAATGGAACATGAGGTGCGTTGGGCTGGTGCAAGGTGATGCGACTTTGCCCCTATCAAATAACCGTGGAAGGCCAAGGGAACCTGTCTCCATGTCTGTCAGGGGAAAGTAAGCCGTTATCTAGGCTGAAGGCTTTTCCAGTCAGGGATGAGTCCTGACGTAAGGTGGGGGGTTCCTGACGTTCTAGCCCTTGTGGGCCTGCGGGAAACCAGCTGTGAGAACAGGTCTGCCTGTGGTCACACAGGCGACTTTGGCCAGGCCCCAGCCTAGACTGGGCCCCCACGAAGGGCAGAGCGTGCCCAGGTTTTCTAACGGAAGATACAGGGCTTGGTGTTCCCACAGTTCCCAAGAGATGCCCTCCCCCTAGTTACAGAAGGCACCCTCAGCCCTCACCACTCCTCAGGACAGACACTGGGACACAGGGCACAGATGCCTTATTTGGGCCAATCTGGTACCCCTTTGGAGCCACGGGGAAAAGCAGACTAGATGCCCCCTCCAGCAAAGGGAGTGCCAGGGACCAAAGATGATTAGGATGGGTCCTCCTGGAGCCCAGAGTCAAGGTGATGGGTCTGGGGTGGCCATCCAAGGTGGCAGACAGAGTGCTGGGCTGAGGCTGGACAGGCTGGGCCCGTCTCCATCCACAGTACTCTCTAATCTCAGCAAGATGGGGAGACCGAACTAGAAGGTCTCTGAGGTCCTTTGACCTTGATGTGGCCTCAAATGGCTGCAAAGAACAGGAGTGGGCACCTGGCCAGACCAGAGTCAGGCTGCGATCTAGATTGGGGTTCACAGACTCTAGACTGCAGGTCAGTGTTCTAGTGGTAGGAACAGGGTAGGTCAAGGTCACCCCTGCTGGTAGCCCTTTGTGCCTCTTGACTCCCAGATGCTCCTATTGGGCCCAGGTGGGGGTAGGGCCCAGCCTCCTGCCGCATTTGGGAGGTCCCTTTCCCGACCTGGGGCCATGGGCACTGACCTCATTGTAGTAGGGGCAGTTAGTGGACTCCTTCATAGACGTGTACTTCTTGTCGTCGCCCACCTCCACGCACACCACGGGGTCCATGTTCAGGCCCACCAGCTGCCGCGCCTCGATCACCGTGATGCTGACCTGCAGGCAGGAGAGGGGGAGGCCAGAGGGAAAGATGTGTGAGCCCTGGAGCTGGTTCTGCCAGAATAAAGGCAGCCTTCGGTTAAGTGGTTGGTCTCCCAAGAAGGCAGGGTCTGTCTGATGCTCACGATGGTCTCCGTCGACTCTCTTGAACTTGCATTTTACCAAAATGGGCTTTGCTGAGCTAGAATTAGCATTTCCTTCAGCACATTTCTTCTGGTGAAACTGTACAGGTTGCTTCTCACGCTTCTCCTCTTGGAGATCTGGTATTTTAATCGCCGTGCTTTGATGCAACTTCTAAATATGATTTGACTCAAGAGAACCACTTTCCCTTTTCATAAAAAGAATAATCACAACAATTATCATCCACCATGTCCACGAGAGTCTTATAAACATGCGAAAGGCCAAGAAAGGTTTACACATCAAAACGAAAGATGTTAAGAAAAATAGAAACTCCGATGCCAATGAGCATGTTGCTGGGAAAGTATACAGAACTGGAACATTTACTAATTGAAGTAGCACTTGAACTATGCACTCAAGCATTTCTGTTTGGAATTGGAAGTACCAAGGGAGCGGAGCTCAGAACCTGGAGCGTTGAAGAAGTTCAATAATCACCATTTCTTAAGGGAGCTCAGAAGGAAATAGAGCTAATTACCTTAACTCAGAGTTTGCTGTGAAGAGAGTAAATAGACATTAGAAGTCCTTCCAGAATATTCTTTGCACAGTAGTTTATAGAGTTTTGACCCCGATGAAACTTTTTATACCAAATATGTATTTTTAAATCTCATCATTTTCCCCACAATTAACCCATCTTCTCCCTTCCATTAAAAAAAACAACAAACCAACCAAACAACAACAGAAACAGGACTTGAGGTAACCCAAGACTAGGAAGAGACAGACACAGATTTGGCATAATAAGGTACTGTAGACATGCCATCAGGAGATTAACCTTCCCAATAGGAGCAGTTGGTCCGTTTTTATGATTTTCAAACAGAGGCCCGGCCATGCTAACAGCCTTTTTCAGGACCCAGAGTTTCCACCTTCCTCCACTGAGCAGAGCCCATGATGGCAGACAGCCCTGGCTGGCAGCTCTGACACACAGGAGGTCAGAGGTGGAGAGAGGAGGAGGGCAGAGGGTTGAATGGAGTAAAAGGGAGAAGAGAGGCGCAGGGTACTCTTTGCTGGCTGAGTGGTGGCCCCAGGGGGAACCCTGAGAACGCACAATTGGGGCCACTGCCTGGTGCTGGTGTAGCCTCTTACGGTGCTATTTTAAAAGCAGCATATATTTAAATATTTATGCTCTGGGATGCCATCCTGCTGCCCCTGCCCCCAGTGGCGCTCAATAGAGGGGAGTGCATCACTGGGACTTGAAATTAAAAACAAAACAAAACGCACAAAACACGAGGGAGGGGATTGGCCATCCTTCCCTCCCATTAATTGATGATTATAAAATAATCATCAGCAGAGGACTTTATTTTTCCTGGATGGAAGGTGAAGGGGCAAATAGAGCCACAGTGGGTCCGACTGACAGCTGATCAAGAAGCACTTTTCGTAATTGACTATTCCACCTTCTCCTGCCAAGATAAGACACATAATCCCTAGGTGGCTTCATAAAGGCATCGCAAGGAACAATGCTAAATGTAAATCTATACCTTTGCCTTGGGAGAACCCAAGAGTCATAGTGCTTCGTGACCTGCTTCTGAGCCATCTGATCATGCTGTGAGAACACTAGCTGGGAGCTGGAGATGAGAGGAGATGCCCCTTTAGCACTTTCTTCTAAATAGCCTTTACCTTCCTGCAACTCCTGGTGGCAGAGATGTGACATGACCAGATCTGCATTTTGAGAAGATGGTACAGGATGCAGTGGAGGAAGTAATCTGAGGGTAGGAAGACCAGAGAAGAAGTGGGTGCAATACTGCAGTCAATGCTGGGGTCTAGGGCCAGTGGGAGGAAGATGACAGAGAGGTGGAAACTGGAGAGATGTTTGGAGGTGAAAACGTATAAGGTCTTGGTGCTGGGAAGAGAGAATATTGAACTTGCATATTGAGGGAATAGACTCAAGACTTCATCATCCACCAGGAACACCTCTGCCAAGGGCCGACCTTTGCTCACTCTGATGGGAAACTGCATATTCACGAGGAAGAGACTGTGGCTTCTCGCTTTTGAGATGTCAATAATCATAACCGGGTTTGCCCATTACGTACATCCTAAACAGAGGAAACAGGGGGCAGGAGTATGCCATGGTCTTTTCACTGCTCTGAGGCCTCAGGATCCTTCCTGAATCTGAGTGCAGCTAAGTCCCTCTCCTGTCACCAACTGTGCTTTCTTGTGGAGAGCAGCTACAGTGTTTGGACAGGTTCAAGCCTCGGACTAATGAGAGGGCACAGTCCTCTCATGGCCACGTACAAGTCCCAGCTTGGAGGGCAGAGCCCTCTCAGCACAATTATAGCCAACAGCTGTAGTTGTAAGCTTGAACCTGTGGTCCAAACACGTGGCCCCACGTGTCTGAGTGATGTGGGCTTGATAGAGTTCAGGTGCATGCAGTTGAGTAGACTGGAACAGTGTAAACATCTTGACCACGCCCTTACTTTGCCTCGTGGCATCTGCTATAAAATAAAGACACAGCTTGTAGCCCGTGGCACTGTCTCTCTCCATCAGAGAAGCGGTCCTCTGGCAGGAAGCGGTCTGAAAGAGCTTTGGAAAACAAGCAGCAGGCAGCAAGCGGAAGCTGACCAGGGAGCAGAGGTAGCGACTGTCCAAAGGGTTAAATTAGAGGGAAATGAGTCGTTCTCGCTGCTGCAGTCAGACACCCTCAGGTTGGAACCCTGGATCTAGCTCTGAGTGACTGTGACCTGGTCAAGCTCCTTACCTTCTCTGGCTCTCAGTGTTCCACCTATGACACGTAGTAATACCTATATTTAGAGGGTTCTAAGAATGACATTAACTTAAATGGACAACACATATACGGCTCCTGACCTAGTATCTCGCATATGGTAAACCTTCAGAAAATACAGCTCCATTAACAGCAAAGACTCCATTTTCTGTGTGCCCTTACCTGGCAGGCTGGTGACGCTGTGGAGGCAACACTATCTGACTACGGGGTCTTTGTTCTTTGGAATTTTCCTGTTCTCAGCACACAGAGGAGTCAAGCCCTGAGCCCAGTCCCCTGGAAAAGCCCTCAGAGGTCTTAGAACACTCTATGCTTGGATTTTTGCAGAGAGGGGAGGGGGTGACATACCCGAACCTTTAAGAAGCCCAGTGGGTTGAGGTTATCTAAAACCGCAGGGGCAGGGCCATTTGACAGTGTCTGGGGCTATTTTTCCACCTGAACAGATGGTCAGGGACTGAAGTGAGGATTAAGGGAAACAAGCTGTGTCTGGAGAAAACATGAACAGATGTGCTTGATACAAAGAAAGGTGCCATCTAGTACATGACATCATCACCTGAGCGAGATGAGGTGGGGCTGTCTTTGAGGTGGTGTACAAGGGCTCTGGGAATTGGGCATAAAAGATAAGCTCTAACCTGGGAGAGGGGACTCACACTGATTCTGGGGTCTGGCGCTGGTACCTAGGCCAGGTGGGGTGTCCTGAAGGCTCTGTCCCCTCTCACCAGACAGCATGCCCTCTCAATGCTAGGAATACCCAGGAGTCTCCTGACCTATAGCTGGGTCTCCTTAGCCCCCAAGGGGAGGTCTAAGCAATGGATGGTCTCTTGGCCCTTCCTGCTTTCAGTTTATAAATAGGCACTAGGTGCTTCTGGCTTGTACAGTAGCCTGTTGTGAGGTGTGTTGATGTAATTCAGCCTCTCAGGCTCTGAGCAACTCTGGGAAAAGAGACGAGATTGAGGGTGTGGTCCTGCCAAGCTGAGGATCAGGTCTGTGGGAACCCTAATCAGAGTACGCCAGATGATCAAGGCCAATTTGCCATCATGCGCATACGTGCAGGCCAGGATGTAACCTGTTTGTTAATGTAGCACGAGTGTCACGAATTGGCATGAGGCCTCTGTTGCATGTGTATCACTGATTGGCACGAGGCCTCCTCCGTTTGCATGTGTATCACTGATTGGCATGAGCCCTTCTCCGTTTGCATGTGTATCACTGATTGGCATGAGCCCTTCTCCGTTTGCATGTGTATCACTGATTGGCATGAGCCCTTCTCCGTTTGCATGTGTATCACTGATTGGCATGAGCCCTTCTCCGTTTGCATGTGTATCACTGATTGGCATGAGCCCTTCTCCGTTTGCATGTGTATCACTGATTGGCATGAGCCCTTCTCCGTTTGCATGTGTATCACTGATTGGCATGAGCCCTTCTCCGTTTGCATGTGTATCACTGATTGGCATGAGCCCTTCTCCGTTTGCATGTGTATCACTGATTGGCATGAGCCCTTCTCCGTTTGCATGTGTATCACTGATTGGCACGAGGCCTTCTCTGTTTGGTGTGTATCACTGATTGGCACGAGGCCTCCTCCGTTTGGTGTGTATATAAGTTACCACTGACCAGGCAGGGGGCTGGGCTACTTTGAAGAACTACTTTGTCAGGTGGCTCCTGTAGCAGCAACGGCCACTCGATCTACAAAGTCTCTCCTGTACGGGCCTACAGCTTCTCGTGCCTTCTCTGTCTAATGCCCGGTGTCGGCGGAGCTGTGCTCCCATAACATCCCAGGCTGGGAGGGCCGCACTGCTGTCCAGCTGCCCCGATGGCCTTGTCCCAGCAGCGACCGGTGTGCACGGTGGTCACAGTATCTTACAGCTGTAGCTCTCTCCCTGTCTCAGCCCTTTTGTCTCCAGTTTTAGGAACATACAAAAAAATTAAGTGTTAATTTCAGAGAATACAGAGGAGCAAAAACAAGAACACCCACTCTCGCTATCTATACCAGGCTGACATTACTTACAGCATTAAAATAATACAACAATTTTAAAAAATGCACTGAAGAAATCTTTCTTCAGAGGCTCGATTGTTGGGATTTTTTTTTGGAGGGGGTGCTCCTTGGTCTCTACAGTTCCTCCAGGTCCCTCTTACTGTATGAAGTCCAGTTCTGGACACAGAATCCTGGGAGGGCTTTGAGCAGCATAAGCAGAGTTTCCAATCTCCCCTTTGGGTTTGCACGTCTCTTTGTGCCGCTTCTCTGTGTGCCTCCTAAGGACAAGTGTACTTGGGGAATTTATATCTGGCTGAGGTTGTCCATGACCCCTAGATCCCTGCCTCCACAGAGTCTGTAATGCACATCTAGCCAGGCCACATCCCCACGCGCACCGAGCAGAGTCTGAAAGGCTTGAGGACTCTAGTTGGCCCACCCACCTGGTAATCCATGGGCCGCCCGGCACTTGGCTCCATCTTAATGTCTGGCTTGGATCTGAGGAGGAGAATGGACAATCAGGCCTGGTGTAAGGGGTTGCTTGCAGGGGAGGAGGAGGGCCCTCCCTGGCCGTGGTTAGATTTTGAAGAAGGGTGGAAGGACAGAACTGTGGTCTTCAAACACCCAGGACTGTCAAACAGAATGGGGAGTATCTGTTTTTGGATGCCCAACAGAGAGAACTAAGCAATAGCATAATTAACAGGGAGGCAGGCATCAGAACAGCAGGTTCAAATACGGGCTGGATGGCTCTGTGATTTCCCTGGGCCTGGAGGTATTCGGTGCCTTGGGAACAGGCCCACAACTGCTGCACTCTGCCTTTGCGGGGAGAGTGTGGAGAGCGGCTACAGTGTTTGGACAGGTTCAAGCCTCAGACTAATGAGAGGGCACAGTCCGCTCACGGCCACGCGCAAGTCCCAGCTTGGAGGGCAGAGCCCTCCCAGCACAATTATAGCCAACAGCTGTAGTTGTAAGCTTGAACCTATGGTCCGAACACGTGGCCCCATGTGCCTGAGTGCTGTGGGCTTGATAGAGTTCAGGTGCATGTAATTGAATAGGATTGAAACCCATGAGAATGTTGTAAACATCTTGACCATGCCCTTACTTTGCCTTGTGGAATCTGCTATAAAATAAAGACATGGGGTGTAGTCCGTGGCGCTGTCGCTAGCTCTCCATCACAGAGGGCAGCGTCCCACCCAGACCCAGCTTTTATTCTCTTGTCTGACTTTTTCTCAATTCTCTCCAGACCCAGCTTTTATTCTCTTGTCTGTCTTTTTCTCAATCCTCTACCGCCCCCCCTCAGGCTCACCGAACCTGGCTGAGCTGGTTCGGCACATAAGGCACCCAATGTGGGCTGAGCATGCCATGGCTGTGCCGACTTGCCGCAGGAGAGCTGAGAGAGACAGCCAGGAGAAGAAAGGGGCAGGTTCAGATGAACCCAAATTCTAACATTCCTGTCTGATTGGGGTGTGGGGGGGGCAATTGGGGATGTGGGGCTCTGCCCACTCACCGCTTGTTGGAGACATTGGTGGTGAGAGCTGTCACAGAAGCTAGAGACACGGAGTCTGGATCCATCCCCTCTGCCAGGCGAATGCCCAGGCGGTCAAGGTCGTCCATCTCCAGCACTGCTGGTTCATCTGGGGAAGAAGAAAGGCTGGTTAGGTGGGCGGGACGGTGGGATAGTGACGGTCTTTCCCCTTTTGCTTTGGCATCAGGGAAGCTAACAGTTAAATTTAAGGTATAACTAGTAGCATCTGCTGTGAATATTATAGCCTGTATATCTACAGTTTCCTACCTCATCTTGATCTTTTATATCTGGTTTTGCTTTTTTAAAAATTGATTTTAATTATATCTGGCTTTGATTTTTAAAATTTTAATAGAAAGTAACTCTTTTATTGTGTGTTACTTAAGCACTGAGTAGCCTCATGAAAGAGGTAGGAAATAAAAGACACACACTTATATACCACTCATAACAATAGCTACACCCATTTATGTAGTGGCTACCATGTGCCAGGCACAGTGCCAGGCACTTTATACACATATCTCTAGTCCTCATAGCCATGCCCACCAACATGGGCACTATTCTCATGTCACACATGGGGAAACGGAGGCTTAGGAAGCAACTTATCCATGTAAAATAGCCGATGGAATTCAGAACCTAACCCTGTACTAATCCAATGAGACATAGAAATGATGATTCTAAGAAGCCACCCAGGGGTCGTTGGTTTGGGCCTCAGCCAGCAGCTGTGTCCTTTCCACAGCTGGAATTGGCATGGGGGCAGGAGGAGGGGAGAGGGATTCTTGGGCCAGTGGGCCACACAGTGGACACGGGGAGAGCAGCCAGGCGCCCCGAGGACCTGGGTGAGACAGCTACACATGTTATCCACTCCATCCCTCCGTTTTCTGCCTGTCCTTCTCTTAAACAACTGTCTCACCCCCTCCCAGCCTGCTGCTCCAGGGAGGCCAGTGCCACCGGCCACTCCAGCCTTGGAGGCCCACCCTGCCTCTCTCCCCAAGGCCTTCCCTGCAGCCCAGTGAGAGGGAAAAGGCAGGATCTGGGCAAACATTCTCAGAGTCAGGTTTTGCCCCAGAAATAAGGACTTGGCCTAACAACGCCTGTTTTTTGTTATCCCTACTCTGACTACAAATCTCTAGGCTTCTTGATGGAGGAAGCAGGATGGGGCAGAGGGTGGGAGGAGCCGTTCATTAACAGGCCCCTGGGCAGGGGGCTCTGCTCGGCTCTAGAGTCTAGAGTCCCAGTGGTTCTCAACCTTCCTAGTGCCGCGACCCTTTCACACAGCTCCTCATGTTGTGGTGACCCCCAACCATAAAATTATTTTCGTTGCTACTTCATAACTGTCATTTTGCTACTGTTATGAATCATCATGTAAATATCTGATATTCAGGATGTCTTTTCATTGTTACAAATTGAACATAATGAAAGCATAGTGATTAATCACAAAAACAGTATGTAATTATATATGTGTTTTCCGATGGTCTTAGGCGACCCCTGTGAAAGGGTTGTTCGACCCCCAGGTTGAGAACCAACAGACCAACAGAGATGCGGTTCCATCCTCAGCCCTCAGCCCTCACAGCGACCCCTGCCTGAGGGCCACGGTCAGGGCCTGGCTCCCCCGCCAGCCAATGGGATGCCAGGCCCCGCCCACATGGCTCCTCCGGCCAATCACAGGAGAGCCTGACTGCAGAGAGGCGGGGCTTGGTCTCAGGTGCGGAGAGATGGCTATAGACCCAGGGCAGGTGCACGCGTTTGTACCTTGTCTGTGGGTTTCCTCCTTGTGGAGCCGGTTCTTCCCGAGCTTCATGGCGGAGAACACGCTCCTCCCGGTTCTGTGAGAGGAGCCGCCAAATGAGGAGGTGGAGGGAGATGGATGCAAGGAGGAAGACACACCAACAGAAGAGCAAAACCCGAGCGAAAACGCGAGGGAAAGGACACCCAAACCCCAGCCCCTCGCCTACTGGTACTGAGATAAACTGGAAGCCAAGAGGGGGGATTCGGGCGGAGGAAACCTCACCCCTTCCCTTGCCCAGGCCTTCACACCCTGAGGAACAGGTGGGGAGCCAGCGACCAGAGAAGGTGGCCTGCGGTTGGCAGGCACCGCTTAATTGGAGCCCCTCGGATCCTGGACCTTCAGCCCTTCTCAGTCCAGTCTTAGAGCTCCAAGCTCCGCCAGTGCCCCCAGGCTGCTCTTCCATGTCCCTGCTCCCCCCACCACCCCCCATACTGGGTGGAAAGTAAGCCAGCCAACCCGACACAAAGCATCAGAACAGAAGTCAGGAACAGGACTCAGAGGGGCAGAGGCAGAGGTGCTGGGAGATGTGGTTGAAACTAGCTGCTCACTTCTCAGATGGCCCTGGTGCTCAAAGCCGGCCCTGTCTTTCCCAACCTCCCTGTTCCCTGGGATCCTCCTTGGTCCCCAGTGAAAAGGAGGAAACAGGCTCTTTCCCATCTATCTTTGGTGCTGGCTTTAAAAAGGCCCCTTCGGTCTATCCCCTCTCACTGTGGGATCTCCCCCTCCACCAGTCCCCAGGAACATATGGCAGACTCCATAGTTCCTACCTCTTCCTCTGGCTTGGTGTGGCCTTGTGCCCTCAGGTGGAAGGCCCTGCCGTCGGGGGGCTGAGGAAGGGGCAGGGGTCCTCACTGTCCCTTCTGTGCTATCCCCGCAGCTGAGCCTGCGATCCCTGGTGCCAGGAGGGACCAGGAGTAGGTTCAGCATGGGATAAAGTGCAGTATTCCATTACCCCATTAATATTGCATTAGTTGGACACCTGACTCCGTCCACTTCCCATTGCCCCTCCTCCTGGGTGTGGCCCTGTCCTCCTGTAGGCCCACCTGGGGTGAGGGGCAGGCTTGAACCCTAAACTCACCTATAGCTGAGCCACCCATCGTGGGCCATGCATCTCCCTGTGGAGGCTTCACTATGGTTCTCAGGACCGCTGTTCTTTTTCTTTTCTTTTTAAAAATTTCTCCACTTCGTATCTTTTACAAGGACATTTGTTATTGGATTTAGGGCCTACCTGGATAATCCAATATGATATCCTCATCTCAAGACCTTTAACTTAAATTACATCCGCAAAGATTCCTTTTCCAAATAAGGTGCTATTCACAGCTTCCAGGAATTAGTACACAGACATACTTTTGTTTTTGTGGCTACCATTCAGCCCACTACATTTTTCTTATATAGATGTAGCTTCCTAAGGTTCTGGGATGTGTTAGCTCAGTGAATAAACCCAGAAATGTTTTCCCAATAGTTAGTTATTCCACAGGCATATTACTCATACAAGGCCCGTGCTCATTATGCTAGTTTAACGTGAGTTGGGCGAGACCATTCTGTCCTGGTGGAGGTGGCCTAGAAACCTCAGGCCTCTCTCCTCAGGGTTGGAGAGCCAATCTCATCCCCCCAAACCTAGCCCAGTCCTAGGCCCAGGCCTTTCCTTTCCTCTTCATCTGCCGGCAAGACATGGACAGGTGTGTGTCTGTCTCCCAACGAGAGAGCAACCAAAACCACTCCTTTCATGTGGCACCAGCTCACAGTTTAGGAAGCACCTGGCATGTTCATGATTTCCTACAAAGGCATCAGGCAGGTGCAAGGAGGCTGGGGCTGACTGATCTGCCTGCTCTCTCCAGCACCATGCTTTCCAGGAGTAATAATGGGAGGAGAGGGGACGGAAGGTGCTCTCAAGCAGGAAAATAGATGCCTTTGAAGTCTCTCACAGCGCCAGGTAATGGGAAGCAGCACGCTTGCTACCCGAGGCAAAGGGCAAAGGTTCTTATTGAAATAAATGTTAATCAGTGAAATCTGAAGATTACCCAAGTGGATTAAAGATTTGTACTTTTTAAAAATCTAATTGTTTGATTAGGTCACTGGTGGCTGAGGGTTTTAAAACTGAAATTCTGCATTTGGTCTAGGGGGTTCTTTAATTACTAAAGATGTAATGTGGCGAGAAAGCCAATAATCAACTTGGTGAAAAATTATTTTGCAACCAAGTGGTTCTTTTATTCATGGCTGCATGAAAGTAGGAGAAACAGGGCCGGGGTGGTGGGCCTCTAGGATCCATTGAGGATTTATGATCACATTTGGGCGTCCCCTTCCTGGATTCGTCAAAGTTAGAATGCTATGCACCTACAGGCTAGACCAGTGGTCGGCAAACTCATTAGTCAACAGAGCCAAATATCAACAGTACAATGACTGAAATTTCTTTTGAGAGCCAAATTTTTTAAACTTAAACTATATAGGTAGGTACACTGTTATTAACTTAATTAGGGTACTCCTAAGGCTTAGGAAGAGCCACACTCAAGGGGCCAAAGAGCCGCATACAGCTCGAGAGCCACAGTTTGCCGACCATGGCGCTAACTAGACCATGACTTCTCTCTAGAGAAAAGATTTTGAAGTTAGTTCACTCAAACTCTTTCTGCATCTATAGACCTGATGATGTCTTTGCTGTTTCCATGGCTCAGATCTAGAAGGATGTCATTGTGGTTGGGTGATGCACTGGGGGTCCTGAGGAGACCTTGGTGTTCATAATGTCTGGGAACGTTGGCTAAACTAAAGGTAACGAGCTGGGTCCCATCAGTTTGGTCTCTGTTATTCTGGAGGTTGTGACTTAGAGGGACTTGTCTGAAAATGAACAGCTGGCCGTGGCTGCCCAAGGCTTCTCCTTAAGACGGCCTTCAATGCTTCAATGGGACTGTCTGGTCCCATTAGCTGAAGCCTTAGGAGAAGCAAAATGCTGTGGCCTAGAAGCAGAGTGGGGGGGGGGGTCTTCTCTGGATCCCTTACTAGTAAATGTCAACTTGGGGAACTGTTCTCCACGTGCTCCTTTGTGGGTTTCTCTCTCTCATTGTCCACGCTCCAGCACCAGTAATGTCATCACTGCAGCGTTTACAGTCATCTTTCAGGGTGTGCTGAATTTCAGTTAGTTTTGAATGTCTTCCCACATCTGGGCAGGACAGGTTGGCCCTTCATACAGGAACCTGTCTCTAAACTGGCCTGTTGGCACATGTGCCCTTACCGTACGGCAGGCCAGGCAGCCCTATGCACTTACCCCCATGTTTGCCAGGGGACCTGGCTCCTCAGCTCTCCCCCGTGACCCACCCGCTTGCAAGGCCTGAGCAAAGAGCATCATGGAAACAGATTTCCCATCTCCCCAAACCAGATTCTCCCCCAGAATTTCACATACTCACAGGGAGAGGAGTGTCTCCATGGCTCTATTCTTAAATTTTCTGTACTGCAACTTTCACCTATTTCCACTGATTTCTCCCCAGTGGAGATAGAAATGAACAGCGTTGCCACACAATAACCGTCCAGAGCTTTCAAACCGGTTCCCACACTTTTGCTTCTTTAGGCTAAAGAGTTTCAACTTGTGCAACCTCCTCTTAGGAGTCCCATTTTCCTATCCTTTTAATCAACCTAAGGCTGGACACATGAAGTTAGAATAGTAAACGCCAGCTTACTTGATCTCATATGTTAATTGGAAATGGCAAGAGATTAGAATAGAGCGGTGCTAAGGAACCAGCCTTTACAGTGGACCTACTGTGTGCTTGGACTGTGAGCCACCCCTTCGTTAGGCTTCCTTGGGCCTCCAGGACTTCATGTCCACCCGCCCGGCCCTGCCTTCCTTCTGAAGGTGGTCATTGGCTTCTTGAGCCTCCCCAACTCCCTTGACATACTGTGATGCCTGCAGCTTACTCACAAATGGTTTCCCCCCCCCCCCCCCACACACACACACAGGGACACCTAAGGCCTGACGCAGTGGTGGGAGCTGAACAGGGAAGTGGAAGCAGAATCGAGACGCTGAAAGGAGGGAGGAGGGAATGGAAATCAGAAGGCCCGGCCACTGCCCAACCCACCCTTATACCTCCCTGTCCCTCACTCCCATGGTCAAGTAGTGAGACCTCCCTCTCCCTGCCATCCCCTGGTGCTGACTCCGCCAGGACAGCCAATGACTAAGCCTCCGACATGGGCCGCCCCAACATCCGCACCCTGTGGTGAGGACCCTTCGAGCCCTTGGGCTCCGCCCTGGCCTGGGACACCTACTTGTGCTCGCCATCTCTGCCTCCCTTGGTCTTCTCTTTGCCTTTGCTGAGTAGGGAGAAGAAACGAGGAGACAAGGGGACGTGTGTGAGAGGGCGCAGGCCAGAGACACTGCAGACTTAGCCCCTGGCCCTGCTGACCCCATGCTCCCCACTGGACTCTTGTCCCACAGTCCCCTCGGCCCACAGCCTCTCACTTCAGCACACCTAAACCTGTAGGGCAGGGATCCCATAGGGCTGGGGAGAGAGAGACTTGGAGTGCTGATGAGGGCAGAGGCCTCAGAGTAGCAGCTAATTTCCTCCACCCCAAGGACTAGTGATTTCTAAATGTGGGTCACGGGGAACTCAAGGGAGCCTGGCCACCCTCCAGGCCTGAGCCATCCTACTCCTCCCCTAATCCCTTCCAGTGGAGTGGGGTCCTTCCAGGCCCCGAGGGCCTCTCAGAAGAAAGGTGGGCAGAAGGAGGTGGGACCATGGAGGGCAGGAGGGCCAGTAGCTGGAGAAAGAGAAGGAGAGAGTCTAGAGTACAGGGAATCCAAGGAAAGCCCCAAGCCTCTAGGGCGGCTGTGAGACAAAAGCCCACTCCTTTCCTGGTTCTTTCTATGATGTGGCTCCTAGTGCAGCTCACTGGCCTCACACAGAGGGAGAATGTGTGCATGTGTGTACGTGCAAACACATGCGCACTGTGTATGCATGCACACGTGTGTGCTGAGTATCTCTTTGGTGATTGAGGCGAATACACACTGACATGCAAGGGCCTGGAGCCCCGGTTTTGTGCATCTGAGAGCAGAGTGCCCCTGGGGTTGGTGACTCATCCCCTCTCTGCAGTACTGACGGCTGGGATTGGGAGAGGTGCGGAGGACCCTGTGAGTAAGGGGACCCGCTGGCGGGGTGCTGTGAAGCTCCAGCTGAGGGGTTTGTTTGTGTGAGAGCCCTTGGTGTGAAGTGGGGTGACCAGAGCTGAGAAGAAGCTCCATCCACAGCCTGGCCCACCCTTGTAGGCCTGAGAGAGGGACTGCTCGGCACTGTGTGAGCCGCAGCCGCCCAGGTGGGCAGCCCTCTCGACTGTCCAGAGGCCCCAGAGAGCTGCTTCCCATGGGCACTGCCCCAGGATCCAGTGTATCCCTGGGTCCCTTAGGATCTCAGACTTGGACGGGAGCCAGGATGCTCCCCCCATTCCCGGTACTGAACCGGAGGGGCTAGTGGCTTCCCCAAAGTCACTCAGTTAGTTAGTGGCAGTCAGGCAGGATGGGACTCGAACTTAGCTCTTCTGATTATTCAGAGTTAGCGCTTCTTTTCTTGCAGTTGGTGGCCCTTACAAGGCTTCCAATCTTGTCCCCAGAAAACCCTTTCTCAGCCCACCTGCCATCTCAGACAGCTCCCTGTCCAACACTCCCCTATAAGGGACAGAGGATGGGGACCCGCCTTCCTGGCTCCCCACCAGGTCTAGGCTTCTCCTCTCACCATTTCCCGCCAGATTCCTGACCCTTTGATTGTCCAGCCGCCAAGAACCTGTGTGTCACCAGCCCTTACATGGGGCAGCACTTGGCACCCCAGTTACAACCTGTCCCTCCGTCATCCCTTTGGCTCTCCCAACAGCAGTCAGGGAGGCGTCTCATTTGTCCGGGCCCCCGTTTTACAGGAAGAGGGTCTGTGACTGGCCAAGGGCCACCAGGCTGGTAGGAGGCAGAGCTGGAGAACTCAGACCTGGACCCCCCAGGCCAATCTGCAGGCTCTTCCCACCCCACCCAGCCTGGAGTCCAAGGAGGGCAGGTCCCAAGCTGGCCTGGGTGATGCCACCCCGCCCACAGCTGCCTGAAGGCAAAGGTCCAGCCGCATTTGTCACGGGCGTGGTTCCTTTGACCTTATTACTATGACCCCCAGGAGGCTCCCAGGGTTCCTAAGCGCGTATTTGTGTGTGCGTCTGT